TAACCTCGCGGCCATACACAAGTTCAAATGGTGAAAACCCTAAACTGGGATGTGGTACAGCCCTGTAGGCAAAAAGCAACTGCTGCAACACTAGGTCCCAATCATTGGAGTGTTCATTTACGAATTTACTTATCATGGCCCCCAAAGTTCCATTAAACCTCTCCACGTGGCCATTGGTTTGATGGTGGTAAGGGGTGGCAACCAAGTGATTCACCCCATGAGCTTCCCACAGGCTTTTCATGGTCCCTGCCAGGAAATTAGCTCCCGAATCTGTAAGGATGTCGGAGGGCCAACCTACCCTGGCAAAAATGTCTGCTAATGCCTGGCACACACTTTTAGCCCTGGTGTTGCTTAGAGCTACGGCTTCCAGCCATCGGGTAGCAAAATCTATGAAAGTCAGTATGTACTGCTTTCCTCTCGGTGTCTTCTTTGGGAAAGGACCCAGAATATCCACAGCTACTCGCTGAAATGAGACCTCAATTATGGGGAGTGGCTGGAGAGGGGCTTTGACCTGGTCTTGGGGCTTTCCCGCTCGTTGGCACACCTCACAAGACCGGACATAATTAGCAACATCCTTGCCCATTCCCTCCCAGTGGAAAGACTTCTCCAACCGGTCTTTGGTTCTGTTCACCCCAGAATGGCCACTAGGATGATCATGGGCTAAGCTCAAGAGCTTTATCCGGTACTTAGTTGGAACTACCAACTGTCTTTGAGGATGCCAGTCTTCCTGGTGTCCACCAGAAAGAGTCTCCTTGTATAAAAGTCCTTGTTCTACAACAAACCGGGATCGGTTAGAAGAGCTGAGAGGCGGTGGGGTGCTCCGTGCCACCGCCCAAGCTTTCTGAAGGCTGTCATCGGCTTCCTGTTCGGCCTGGAACTGTTCCCTTGATGCTGGAGACATCAGTTCCTCCTTGGACTGTGGACTTGGGCTTGGTCCCTCTGGAAGTGATGCAGGTGCTGGGGTTGTTTCCGTTGACTATGAACCGCTCTCCGCTGGTGCACTATGTGGTATTTCAGGCTCTGGCTGAGCCTCTTGGGTAGGGTTATCTGCTGCTTCTGCCAGTTCAGGCTCGCTGGTGCCCTCTGGCGTTGGAGTTGTAGACGGGTTTGCAAGCGCTGGACTCAGTGCTGGCAATGGTTCTGATGCTGGTTGTGTTGCCAGTTCCGGTTCTGGGACTGGCTTTGGCTGGGTCTCTGGGATTGGATCCACTACGACTGTTGCCTCTGTCTGGGTCTCTGGTAACACAGACGGGGCCCTGGTGGGCGGCTCAGGAACAGGGATAGGTGTGAAAGCTTGCTTAGCCTGGCTGCAGGTGACCATTCCCACCCTCTTGGCTAGCTTCACATGGTTGGCCAAGTCTTCCCCCAGTAGCATGGGAATGGGATAATTGTCATAGACTGCAAAAGTCCACATTCCTGACCAGCCCTTGTACAGAACAGGCAACTTGGCTGTAGGCAGGGTTAAAGAGTGTGACATGAAGGGTTGAATTGTCACTGGAGCCTCTGGGTTGATGAGTTTGGGGTCCACTAGGCATTGGTGGATAGTCGACACTTGTGCCCCAGTGACCCTCCACGCGATAACCTTCTTTCCGCCCACTCTCAAGGTTTCCCTTCGCTCCGAGGGTATTTGAGAGGCATCTGGGCCTGGGGATCTTTGGTGTGATTGTGGTGTAATGAACTGTAATCGGTTGGGGTTTTTTGGGCAGTGGGCCTTTATATGTCCCAGTTCATTACATTTAAAACATCGCCCTGCTAAGGCATCACTGGGTCGAGGTTGGTTGGTGGAGACTGATGTGGTGTGGTGAGAAGGTGTCTTGGATTTCCCTTGAGATGTAGGGGGGGCCTTGGGTTGTCCCCGGTGGTAGGGTTTTGTTTCGGGTTGCCCCTTCTGATATTCGCTCCAACTGCTATTAGTTTTTTTCTTTTCTGTCACCTCCACCCATTTGGCTCCTATCTCCCCCACCTCTGTTACAGTTTTGGGTTTCCCATCTAGGATGTACCTTTCTATTTCCTCAGGAACACCCTCTAAGAACTGCTCCATTTTCACTAGGAAAAACAGATCTTCCAGAGATTTAACATTTGCTCCTGATACCCAGGCATCACAATGTTTGTCAATGTGGTAGGCATGTCGGGTAAATGACACGTCTGGTTTCCACCTTAGGGCTCTGAACCGCCGATGGGCATGCTCGGGTGTTAGCCCCATTCTGATTCTGGCCTTGTTTTTAAAAAGTTCATAACTGTTCATGTGTTCCTTAGGCATTTCAGCCGCCACCTCTGCTAAGGGTCCACTGAGCTGCGGCCTCAGCTCTACCATGTACTGGTCTGTAGTGATGCTGTACCCAAGGCAGGCCCTTTCAAAATTTTCTAAGAAGGCCTCAGTATCATCGCCTGCCTTGTAGGTGGGGAGTTTTCTGGGATGGGAAGCGGTACCTAGAGAGGGGTTGTTAGGGTTGGCTGGTATATCCTGCCTAGCCCTTACCAATTCCAGTTCATGCTTCCTCTCTTTTTCCCTCTCCTCCATCTCTTTTTGTTTCTGCTCCATCTCTTTTTCTTTCAGCTCCATCTCTTTTTGCCTCAGCTCCATCTCTTTTTGTTTTTCCTCCATAGCTCTTTTGTGGGCATCCTCTTTGGCTTTTTCTTCTTTTTCCCTTTCCTCCATAGCTCTTTTGTGTGCAGCCTCAGCCCTGGCCATCTGTCTGTCTTGTTCCTTTTCATTCTCCTCGGCCTGGAATTTGGCTAATTCTAGGTCCTGTTGCATAGTGTTTTTCCTTTGCCTGACATTTTCCCTCTGGTCTACCTTAGCTATCGGGGGGGGGGGGGGGGGGGGGAACAGCTTGGAATCTTTGTCAAGTATCAGAGGGGTAGCCGTGTTAGTCTGAATCTGTAAAAAGCAACAGAGGGTCCTATGGCACCTTTAAGACTAACAGAAGTATTGGGAGCATAAGCTTTCGTGGGTAAGAACCTCACTTCTTCAGATGAATCTTTGGTTACTGTAATGTGACTCTTTAAAAAAAAAAAACAAGTAAAACAGGCTTTTGTGACTATGACCCTCCAGTGCTCACAGCTGGAGCTTCCCTTCTAACAAAAAGCTCTCTGTTAGAAGCTCTTATCTGTTTGCCTTCAGGGTATCTCTCCTTCACTGCTTCCCCAGCATCTCAAAGGAGGGGGAAAAAATCCCTCACCGCTGCTCACTATGTCAAGGTTCCTTCCTCACTCTGAACTTTAGGGTACAGATGTGGGGGACCTGCATGAGAAGCTCTAAGCTCAATTAACAGCTTAGATCTGGTCTGGCTGTCACCACTCCCAAGCACTAATTCCCTTCCCTGGGTAGCCTTGAGAGACTCTTCACCAATTCCCTGGTGAACACAGATCCAACCCCTTGGATTTTAAAACAAGGAGAAATTAACCATCCCCCTTCCTTTCTCCCACCAACTCCTGGTGGACCCAGATCCAACCCCCTTGGATCATAAAACAAGGAAAAATCAATCAGGTATTAAGAAAAAGGCTTTTAATTAAAGAAAAGAAAGGTAAAAGAAAACCCTCTGGGAGAGATTAACATACCAGCTACTCTCACAGACAACAGATTCCAAACACAGAGGATGCTCCCCTGGGCAAACCCTTAGTTACACAAAAAAAAATACCCAAATACCCAATTCTTCCTCTAATTGCACAAGATAGGTTACAAAGAAATAAACATAAACCTATTTATTTCCTTCACTAATACTCACTACTTAATAAGAGGCTGAATTCTGGAGCTTTCCCACTCTGGTCCAAAGTGAAAACTCCACAGACAAAGGGAACTTCCCTCCTTCCCTTTGAACCATCTTGTCCTCCCATTGGTTCCTCTGGTCAGGTGTCAGCTAGGCTAGGTGAACTTCTTAACCCTTTACAGGTAAAAGAGGCATTAACCCTTAACTATCTGTTTATGACAACCCCAATGCCCATCATGGCGCTAGCGGGTGCTGTGTGGCAGGGAGTGATGTGGGGGGTCGGTCGGGGGTTCTGTCCCATCAGAGTCGCACTGATCCCAATCTGGCGCTAGAGGGTGCTGTGCTGAGGGGAGCAGGTTGGGTGGCTCAGTGTGGGGAGCTGTCAGCTCTGTCACAAGCACACGGGATCTACACACCAGATAAAGTGTAGATCGGAGCATTTGGTCATTACATTTCCCACAGCATGTCGTGCAGGAGTAGGGCAAATCCCAGCTCCACTGAGTCCATCCTTCCGGAAATTCCCCAGCAGTTTCTAATGTAACAGGGATTCCCCTGAGATCCCACCTGAGGAGAATCCCCACTCTTGGATCCAGGAGGACAGTGCCTGAGCTCTAAGATATGGGGAACTCTGAGGCACATTTAGGCAGCTCAGGGCCTTTGTACTACAGAGCCATCTCCAACCTGAAATACCTCAGGAGCCCCAGAACATTGTAGTCAGTTCCTTGAGACCTCTCATCCCTCAAGTGATGCTGCTAACAGCTCTAACCAATGCAGTCCCTGTCATTTACAACAGCTCCCAGCAATTCTTATCGCCAGCCCTTTCATCTACAATGGGCTATACTGAAATCACGGGTCCAATATTGGAATTGTTTGTAAAAATTCCAATAAATAGCAATGGAACCAATTCATAATTTTCAATGAATCTGGACCCAAATCTGAACAAATATTAAATTATAGCATCATACTAGATAGAGCTGGCTGGAGAAAGTTAATTCCATTTTGGAGAGGATTTCAATTATTTGAAAATTAGCTTCATTCCAATATGGAATGAAAACCAAAAATTACTAAATTTTCTGGGAAGGGGAACGGAGTCCTGGCTCCAGGTCCGTCTTTGAAATCTGCTTGGTTTCCATTAAAACATCATTGAAAAGGAACCATCTCCTGAAAACGTTTGGATTTTGAAGACTAGGCAAATACTAGTGAAAAATTGTATCAGGGAAGAGGTCACTTTGTAAATGAAAGACTTGTGGACTCGATTGTGACCTTTGCCCTTTCTTTCTCACCATGAAGGTGAATAACACCAGGGCCCACTTACCCATGTCCCTGAACAATGGGGCCCTTCAGCTCTATCAAAGCGGCACCTCCCTCGTCCTCCGCACCGACTTCAACCTCAGGGTGTACTATGACTGGAACAACCACCTGAGGGTCACCGTTCCTAATAACTTCTCTGACAGCCTGTGCGGCCTGTGTGGCAACTATAATGGGGACCCCGCCGATGACTTCCGGACCCCGGATGGGGACCAGGCTCCCAGTGTCGCTGCCCTGGGGAAAAGCTGGGCAGTGGAAGATGAGGATCATTTTTGCTGGCACGATTGCATTGGAGGTTGCAAGCCCTGTGCCGCCAGCATAGCCAGAAAATACAAGGAGGAGGTCTCGTGTGGCCTGATAGCCAAGGTCTCAGATGGGCCCTTCAGCCAGTGCCACAGCAAGGTGGATCCTACAGTCTACTTGAACAACTGCGTGTACGATCTGTGCCACAACGACGGCTACAGGAAGGCCCTGTGTGAGGCCCTGAAAGCCTATGCGGACGCCTGCCAGCTAGAGGGGGTCAGGATTGGGGAATGGAGGCAGCTGGCCAGATGCCGTGAGTACAGATTCGTATGCCAAGGTCTACAGTCTGCTGGTTAGACCGGGGAGCCTAGGGCTCAGCAGTCTTGAGTTCTAGCCCTGGTGTTGGGAGAGGGTTGCCAATTTTCTAATCACAGAAAACCGAATACCCTTGTCCCGCCCCCTGCCCTGTCCCTTCTCCAAGACCCCTCCCAACATCACTCGCTCTCTCCAACCCTTGTTCATGCGCTTATTTTCACTAGCCTGGGGCGGGGGTTGGAGTGCAGGAGGGGGAGAGGGTAAGGGCTCTGGACTGGGGGTGTGGGCTCTGTGGTGGGGCCATAAATGAAGTTTTTAGAGTGCGGGAGGGGGCTCTGGGCTGGGGCAGGGGATTGGGGTGTGGGAGAGGGTGAGGGCTCCGGCTGGGTGTACAGGCTCTGGGGTGGGGCCTGGGATGAGGGGTTTGGGGTGCAGGAGGGTGCTCCGGGCTGGGAATGAGGGGTTCAGAGTGCAGGAGGGGGCTCTGGGCTGGAGCAGGGAGTGTGGGTGCAGGATGGGGTGCAGGGTGCAGGCTCTGGGAGGGAGTCTGGGTGCAGGAGGGGGCTCAGGGCTGGGACAGGGAGTTGGGTTGCAGGAGGGGGCTCAGGGCTAGGGCAGGAAGTTGGGTTGCGGGAGGGGGCTCAGGGCTGGGGCAGGGGGTTGGAGTGTGGGAGGGGATGCGGGGTGCAGGCTCTGGGTGGTGCTTACCTCAGGCAGCTCCTGGGAAGCAGCGATATGTCCTTCCTGCTCGGAGGCAGCCATGGGGCTCTGCATGCTGCTCCCGGCCCCAGGCGCCTCCCCCACAGCTCCCATTGGCCGTTCCCAACCAATGGGAGCTGTGGAGCTGGCACTTGGGGTGGGGCAGAGCAAGGAGCCCCCATGGCTGCCCCTGAGCTGGAGGGACATGTCGCTGTTTCCCAGGAGCTACATGGAGTCGGGTAGAGAGCCTGCCCACCCCGCTGCGCCACCAACCGGAATTTTAACGGGTCGGTCAGTGGTGTTGACCAGAGCCACCAAGGTCCCTTTTCGACCGGGTGTTCTGGTCGAAAAACGGACACCCAGAAACCCTATTTGGGAGGGACCGTGATCAAGTGATTTGGGATTGAGCAGTGATTGGGAAATCAGAACTCTTGGATTCTATTGTACCTACAGTACTTGTCTGTCCATGATATTGCTAAGGTGTAGTTTTGTATTGTAGATTTGCCCTAAGTTATGTGATGTATAGCCACAGCAGTAATTGAATCGTTTTACATGTCCACACTCTGCTCCTTGTGTCAGCGGTGCACGTCCTCACCAGGAGTTCTTGCACCAATTTAACTGTCAGTGTGGGGCATTTTGGGATGACTTCTGAAAGGCAGCAACTGTCAATGTAATCAGTGCATTGTCTACATCTACACCTACATCTACATCAACCTAACTACATCGACCTAAGTGCTATGCCTTTCGCGGAGGTGGAGTTATTAAGTCAGTGTAGTGGACGAGTTACAGAGGTGGGAGCTACATTTTAGTGTAGACTCCTACAGAATTAGGTTGACAAAAGCTGCCCTACATCAGTCTAACTTTGTAGTGTAGACCAGGTCTCAGTCTGAGCTCTTTGGTCAGACTCCAGATGAGAGCCCCGACTCCTACCAGCGGCCAACCCTTATTTCCCCACATCACGTTTCCCAGTCCTTTGTTCTCCACCTGGGGGATTTTTGCTCCACGTCCTTGCTGAGAGGCCAGGAAATCCATCCACTTTGGAGTCGTTTATTACTGGTGTCAATGTCCTTGTGACTGTATTTGCCATTATCTTCTGGATTCTCCACTGATATGGGGTCCCTCTCGGCCAGTCCTTTTTAATGACCCATCCAGCTGAGACAGCTAGGCAACATTCATACTGATGTTTCTTAGGTCATGTCTACACTAGCAAGCTTAGAGCGGCAGAGCTGTACTGATATACCTGTGCCTCTGTAAGATCGCTCGTGTAGCTGTGTTACGCTGATGGGAGAGAGCTCTCTGTCAACATAATAAAACCAGGTCAACGAGCGGCGGTAGCTTTGTTGGCAGGAGAGCATCACCCGCCAACATAGCGCTCTGCACACAAGTGCTTATGCCAGCAAAACTTGTGTTGCTCAGGGGTGTGTGTATATGTTTTCACACCCCTTAGTGACAAAAGTGTTGCTGACATAAGTGCTCATGTAGATATGGCCTTAGCTTGCCCTGGGAGCAAACAGTCATTTTGGACACACTGGGTAACAAAGATGGCATATGGGAAAACTGAGGCACACATAGAGGTTATAAAAATAGTACGTGCAATCCCCCCTTCATCACAGCCTGTCACTTTGAGTATCTAATGTCCACTGATAACACATGGATGGTTGAGGTAAAATGATGCCAGTTTTTAAGTGACTCTTCCTACTATGTGCCTGATCCTGTAAGGGGCTAAGCACCTTCTACAACATACTGAGCACCCTCAGCCAATGTTGAGGTCACTGGGATTCGAAGGCTCTCAGAGCCCCACAAGATACGTCCCTTTCTGTCTATTTTAAATATTGCTTTTGCGTGGAGAGGGTTTGCTGCTAAATCTGTGGGTTCTTCACTCCCCAGCCATGGAGTGCCCCCTGGAGAACAGCCAGTACCAGCTCTGTGGAACAGCCTGCCCAGCCACATGTGTGGACCAGTCAGCCCCCAGTAGCTGCCAAGACCCCTGCGTGGAAAGCTGCCAGTGCAAGGATGGTTTTGTGCTGAGCCAGGGCAAATGCATCCCCAAGAGCAGCTGTGGGTGCCTGTTCGAGGGGCGTCCCTATGCCCCCAGTGAGAGTTTCTGGGTTGATGAGGCATGTGGGACACGGTGCATGTGCAACACAGCCACTAGACAAGTCAAATGCATGGCTGCTACGTGCAAACGTTCAGAGAGATGCGGGCTAGTGAATGGCATACGGGGCTGTTACCCCTCCAGCTACGCCACCTGCTCTGTGACAAGGAATCTGCACTATTCCACCTTTGATGGACAGAGATACAACTTCCAAGGCACCTGCCGCTACCAGCTAACTACCCTGTGCAAGAAGGCGGTGGGACTGGTGGACTTTGATGTCTACTTCCAGGAAAGCAATACTCGTCCTGTGCAGATCAAGGTCTATGAGATCGACATCAGGGTCAGCAATCAATTCCCTGGGAAAATCATGGTGAGTTTCAGAAATCACATCTAGTCTCTAAAACATTTCTGGAAAGTCGCCTGTGAAATCAGAAGTTGGTTGCAGAAAGTGTATGGAAGGATTTTAGAAAACAGATCAAATATTAACTGGATTCTGATGTGAATGGGGAGCCAATGGAGAAGCTAGAGGGTTCGGGTGATGTGGTTACACTTCGTCTTTGTGAGAAGGTGTCAATAGCATCCAGCATATGTGGGAACTTGGAGAGCTGGGGCTCACAGAGGAGGGAACAGCAATAGCCAGTGTCAGAAAAAAGGAAAGTCTGATTGGAGGATCCTGCTCAGTCTGGGGAGCTGGACTCAGGCAGGCTGTAGAGGAGGGAGCAGGTCAGCCCGGATGAAGATTTCAGCAGCAGTAGATGGGCCAGAGCTCTGTGCTGGAGCCAGAGGTTCCACCAGAGCGAGCGATGTTTCATATCCCATGTATCTTGCTTTTCCAGGTGAACAGTATCCTGATTACCCTTCCCTTCAACCTCGATGATAAGAAAATCACTGTGTATAGAAAGGGCTGGGCCACAGTGATCCAGACAGACTTTGGTCTCACCGTTACCTATGCCGGGTGGTCAGGACGCACCACGATCACTCTGCCAGTCACCTACGCGGGAGCCGTGTGTGGTCTGTGTGGCAATTTTAACAGTGACAGGGAGGATGACATGCTGATGAGGGATGGCACACTGGCACCAAACCCCATCAGCTTTGGCCAGAGTTGGAAGGTGGGCGACCTCCCGGGATGCTCTGCAGTAACGATACCACCATGCGCAAGTGTAGAGGCTATTGAAAAAGAACAACAAGGTAGCAGAGGGCAGTGTGGGCTCATCTTATACAAGAGTGGCCCTTTCAGAGGATGTCACAGCAAAGTGGACCCTCATGGATACTTCATAGACTGTGTGTATGGCTATTGCGTCCTCAGTGCGCGTGAAAGTAATGTCTGCCAGGCCGTTGCTGCCTATGCCGAGGCATGTCAGGAAGCTGGAGCTATGGTGCGTCCCTGGAGGACTACAAAATTCTGCTGTGAGTCCCTCATGTTCACCGCTGCCTGCCCTTTGGGGATTGTTAATTCTTGTTGGCTGGTAGATGTGGATCTAAACACTGCAGAACATTTTTAACAGGTCTCTCTCAGCAGGCTGGGTTCAGCACTCGTAGTGGCCTTGGCAGCTGTACCCTGGGCAAGGGAAACACTGCTAGGGATGTAGTGTGCTCTCCGTGGCCAGTCTAATCCTTGCCTTCCCTTCTGAGACTGGGACATAATCAGAGCTGGGACTCAGGGTGGCTACTAATTGAGATGATTGTTCATTAGGAACTGAGCTGGGAACCCACCAATTCATCCCACACAAGCCATCAGTTGGGAATGAATTTTAACAGCTACTGACCTGGATTCAAAACAAAAAGCTAGTAGTGAAACAATGAAACAATAAACCGAATTAGAAGCCATCATAGGAGAGAGATTGTCTGTATCCCATCTCCTGGCCTCTGTGAGGCAGCCAGTTCATCAGACCTGGGACCCCATTACAGAGGGTGCCTTTTATTAATTAACCAAACTAAGGAAATAGAAAAGTAGGAACTTGAATGAAATTGCATGTTCTGTGATGGTTCATTGAGCACATTGCTAATGCACTATGTGAGCTAACTCTTTGTTCTAATTACAGCTCCGTCCTGTCCCCTGAACAGTCACTACGAATTCTGTAGCAGCAGCTGCGATGTGACATGCAGCAACCTCTATGCCCCGGTGCAATGCATGACCCAGTGTAAGGAAGGCTGCGTGTGTGATGAGGGCTTTGTTCTCAGTGGCGACCGCTGTGTCCCCATTTCCCAGTGTGGATGCCTCCACAGAGGACTTTACTACCAGCCCGGGGAGACCTTCCACCCGAGCGGTTCATGCGAGGAGCAGTGCATGTGTCAGGCTGGTGGGGAGGTTGTGTGTAAGGCATTCTCCTGCGGCACTGGTGAGGAATGCGGGGTAGTGGACGGTGTCCAGAAATGCCACCCATTTGGATCTGCGACCTGTTCTGCCTCTGGCCATCCCCACTACCTCTCTTTCGATGGGGTCTCCTTTGACTTCCAAGGCACCTGCACCTACATCCTGGCCAAGACCTGCACCGATGCCAGTCACCTTACACCATTCACTATCAGCATAGAGAAAGAAGATTGGGGCACCAGGAACATGTCCGTGGCCAAGCTGGTGTCCATTAAGGTGTATGGGATCACACTCACCCTGCTGCAAAACAAACAGGGGCTCATCATGGTAAGTCCTCCACATTCTCATGGACAGAGATTTTATTCTAGTCTACACAGGTTTGTTTGCAGTTTGGCCAACTCCCTAGTGCCCCGTTGTGGTAAAGGTTGCGCTGCAGGTGGTCTGCCTCACTTTCCCTCTTGGGCTCCTCAATAGCTCACAAGACAAGTTGAATAACAGCCGCCCTCCTTAGGGTCTGGATTATTAAATTAGCAAACATGCAAAATAAAGTTTTCAAGTCCATCCATTTTTCTCCATACCAGGTCACTCCGAGTTCTTTCCTGTCTGTAGTCATGCTCCCCAAATTTCAAGTTTCCCTGCTGGAGTCTATTCGCTCCCATCAGCCTCTTGATTCTCTTCTGTTCTCCCTGAGAACTCTCTCTGCAGGGCCAGCCTCCCATCTTCGTCCTGCTGCTCTTATAGGGGAATCAGGGGATTCCTGCTCAGGTGTGCCTCCTTAGTAATCAGGGTTGGCTGGCCTACTGGCCTTAAAGGACAAGCCACGCTCTTACAAATTCTTATAACATGCACATCCATTTAGTATTTCAGCACCTTCCAGCAACATACTAAGTAACTTAACCAACTCTCTCAACCTATCACCAGGAGGAGATGTGCGTGCAGGGGAGAATTTTGTATTGGATTTACTTTTAAAAGTTATAAATATGCACACACATTGCCATATATATGTGTGTGTGTGTGTGTGTGTGTGTGTGTGTGTTAGAGACAACAGGTCAGAGAAACACACCTTGCACTTGGGGCAGAAGTGGTGAGGTTTGTCAGGGTCCTTTGTTCCTGAGGGAGTTCATTCCCCAGTCTCGAACTGGTCACCAGTAAAAGCTCCATCTCCTGCACAGGCTAACTTTACCCTTATTATTCCAGAAGAAGGAAGTGGTCAGCTACGATCTTCATCCTGGAGGTTTAATTGATCTTTTAGATACCTAGGGCCCAGGCCATTGAGAGTCTTGAAGGTAAGGTGTGAGAGCTTGAACTGAATTCAGAAGGCAGCAGAGGGAGCAGAGGACAGTTTTGATGTGATCTCAGTTGCCAGTGCTGGTGAGGAGATGCTTCTGTACCTGATAGCGATTCTGGAGTGCTGAAGGGTTCATGGTATATCACATGACTGTAGTCCAGAGGAGAGGTGATGAAGGCATGAAATAATTGATGCCAGATCATCATCCATCAGGATGGGACAGTCTCCTGCCAACTGAAGATGGTAGCAAGTATTACTCATGGATGCTGCTATGTCAGAGCTTCATTTGGGCAAGCTGAGCATCCCCTAGCTCAGCTCAATCTTCTTTGCCTCCCTTCTTGGTTTATACACCATGTTTCTGGGAATTAATGATGTGGGGAACTCTCTACACATAATTCAAATTTTTGCAAACACGGAATAAACTTCCTCTCCATTATAATTCCATTGGCTCTGTGTTGAAGAATTTCTCCCCTGATGCATTCCCCTGAGAAGCCTGCAGTCTAACTTGGGAGAAATACAACATGTGATAAATTGATGGAGATAGGAGAAGGCAAGGGGTGAAGGAATGAAGTATCACCAGGGAAGTGGGTCTTTAGGAGAGAAGGGGAGATAGACAAGAAGTAGGAGAGTGTTCTATGTGCAGGAGCTTGCATGAAAAGGAGGGGCAAGCCAAACATGGTTGGAGAAAATAGGGATGGTAAAGAGAGAGAACCAGGAGGGAGGTGCGGTGAAGGGGAGAGGAGAGAAGAGATGTAGACTAGGGTGACAATGTGAAGACCTTGGAAGGTGAGCACAAGTCATCCCAAAGTGAAATCTGGAGTCATTCTGATTTATGCCATATGTCAGTGAGAGTAGAATCTTGCCTGTGTACATGCTCCCCCGTGCTCACAGGGAATGTTCTCTCTCTTCCAGGTGAACGGGGTGTCCCACAACCTCCCAGTGATTGTGGCTGATGGGCAACTTAGAGCATATCAACATGGCACAAACATTCTGGTACAAACCATCTTCGGCCTCACTGTGAGCTACGACCTGGTTTACCAGGCCAGGGTCACCATCCCAGGAAGCTACGAGGGCCAGACGTGCGGCCTGTGCGGGAACTTCGATGGACAGCAGGACGAGGAGTTCCTGCTCCCCAGTGGCAGGACAGCCCCTGATACAGCAGCATTTGGCTCTGCTTGGGAAGTCCAGATCCCAGGAGCATCCTGTACAGACAGATGTGCTGGAAACAGCTGTTCAGTTTGTGAGGAGAGGAAGAAGAACGTCTTCAAAGGGCGCAACTACTGTGGGCTGCTTACAGATCCCGACGGCCCCTTCACGGCCTGCCATGGCATGGTCAGCCCCAGCGTGTATCAGAGCAACTGCCTGTATGATCTGTGCCTGGGCAACGGGGACGCACAGGTTCTGTGCCAGAGCATCCACAGCTACGTGACGGCCTGCCAAGAGGCTGGGGCTCCCATCCGGCCCTGGAGGAGCACCTCCTTCTGTGGTAAATGTGCTGATAGTGTAGAAACTCTGAGATGCACTGGGGGGGGGGGGGGGCAATATTGCTGAGCATCTTGTTCCAGGCCTCTGGGCTTCTTCTGGAACTCTTCTGGGTGGGAACCAACAATCTCATGTTTCCTTCTAAAGGTTCCCTATTCCTCTCCTCCCTGTCCTGCTCTCCTCTCCTTCGTGTCTGTCCCTCTAGGCCGTGGTGTGAGATCTTTCCAGCCATCCTTTATTTTTCTCTCTATTTAAGCTGTGAGCTGCCCAGCCAACAGCCACTACGAGGTCTGCGCCGACCTCTGCACCTCCACCTGCACTGGAGACATCATAGACTGCCCGGAGACCTGTGCTGAAGGCTGCGAGTGTGACGGTGGCTTCTTCTTCGACGGCCAGGGCTGTGTGACTCTGCAGAGCTGTGGGTGCTTCGAGCGTGGGAGATATTACAAGGTACCGCCCCCTGCTGGAGCATCTGGGTCTGATCTAATTTTTGCTCTGTCCACATCTTAATCCCTACACTGGTCAAGAATATAGGCTTTGCTATACTGGATCAGAGCATTGGTCCATCCAGGATGTCCCTCTCTTCTAGTATCTAATGCTCAAAATGCCAAAAAAGGCCAGAAGATTTAATGCCCTGTGCCTGTTGTGGGGAAACTGAGGCAGAGATAGGCGCAGTGACTTGCTCAAGGCCACCTAGTGAGTGAGTAGCAGATGGGAGGTTAAAATCTAGGAATTGTTCCTGGCTTTAAGCCCAGTCCTCACCCCATTACACAGCCTTTCTCTCTAAAGGCAAGAGGAAATAATATTATGACACAATGGACATTTTTATAGATACATAGATTCTAAGGCCAGAAGGGTCCATTGTGATCATCTAGTCTGCCCTCCTGTATAACCCAAGCCAGAGACCTGCCCCAATGTCATTCCGAGAGCACATCTGTTAGAAAAACACATCCAGAGCTCTGGGTTTAGCGCTGTCAAAAATTATTTTAAATAATTGTTTCCAGTTACATTCTGTTATTTCCTGTTTTCCAAACGTTCCATCAGCCCAATGAGACGGTCCTGATGAACGAGTGCCAGCAAAGCTGCACCTGTGTTCCTGCTCGAGGAGTGACTTGTAAAGCCCACAGCTGCTCCCGAGAAGAAATCTGCCAGATTAGAGATGGCGTCAGGGCCTGCATCAGCAAAGGTACAGGACAGTCATTGTTTGAAACATGCCGTGAAGGGTTATTGTACAGGCAGCGAGTAAGCAGCTGTGGTTATGTCTCCTGACCCTTCTCACTCTCTCTCCTCCTTCATTTAGCCTGGAACTCTGACCCCTAATAGTACAACATTTCGACTGGAAAGATGGGAAGACTTGTTGGGTCTCTCCAGCAGAGTCGGGTGGGCAACTGTCAGGGAGCTGAGCACACTCCGTGATTCTCTCCCTGGGCGCAGCCTGGGGGCTGCTATAAACAGAACACCCTGGCTACATACAGTCCCATAGGGACCATCAGTCAGCTATGCAGTGTCATTGTCCATCACCTCTCAGCCACTTTCCTTGCCTGCTTCATGCTAGAGGTCTGCTTGGGCCTAATATTTGAGGAGCCCAAGCCCGAGAAGGTCAGGTCATTTTCTGACCTACCCTGACTCTTTCCATGAAACTGAATGAGCGCCACGGCCACCTCCCGCCCATAGGGTTGGCACGGCCGTGCCTATGTTCCCTGTTCCTGCCATCCGCCATCCCTGGCTGCAGTGTGTGCGCTCTGGGGCAGCTCCCTCACTCCACAGTATGCATAAGGCAGCCAGGTGGCAGTGCTAGTAGGAGCTGGGCATGCAGTCACCTCTGCGCTGACCCCACAGGTAGGGTGGCCAACTCTCTCATTTGTGAAAACTGGACACTGAGTGCCGGAACCTCCCCTGCTCCCTGCTCTACCTCTTCCCCCGCTCCTCTTTCTGCACCCACTGTCGCTCACTGCTCTCTCCACCACCCTCCCCCTGACAGCTGAGCAGGGCTCTAGGGGTGGAGGGGTGACTGGGGCAGGATGTGGGGGAGAGAGCAGGGCTCTGAGGGTGATGGGGTGACTGGGGCAAGGTGTGGGAGGGAGAGCCATGCTCGGGGCAGAATGGGGAGCCGCTGGTATGCTGGTACCTTTCTCCGCCGGAGCTGTTGCTGAGTGCTTCTCCAGGCTCCAGCTGCAGCTTCTGTCCTCCCCCTCCCCTGGGTGGCGGAGGCTGGTTACTGCAGGTAACTGGACTTTTAGTGTCTGGTCAGCAGTGATGACTTTCCAGTCGAAAACCGGACATTTGGCAACCCTACGCACAGGCAGAAGGAGAACAGCTGACTTGACAGAAGCCCAAGAGGGTCCCGTTGATTTTCTACTCAACCTGACCCAGACCTGACACTTGTAGTCGGCTCCCATCAGGTTTGGGTTGCATTGCAGGGGTCTGCTCCTTACTACCTGTCACATGGCCCTCTGTGTTCACCACCTACACTACAGGTTGTGGAGAGGGTGATATAGGAGCTGGCTCTGCTGGCTCAAAGACTGCTATGGTCTCATCCATGCAGAGAGATTTCCCAGCAGAGGACTTGTGGGAGGTTTGGGAAGTGTACAAGGGAAATGTGTATGGGGATAGATAGATAGATCATTCGGTCCATTTCACAAACAGGCTATATTAAGAAGTAGGATTCCAATGACACTAAATTTCATCCCAATTTTCACACCACCATCAGCCCCCTCTCTGCTCTCATATATAACTGATTAGTCTGGTGTTTCTTGTCTTTCTATTGTCTTTCCCCACTAGTTATTCCATCCTGCAGTGTTGTCCGCTGCAGAGAAGGAACTATTTGCAAGATGATAAATGGGCAGCCAGAGTGTGTGCCAGTCTCTCAGGCCACGTGCTGGGCTGGGGGTTACTTGCATTACCACACCTTCGATGGACGGGTGTATGATTTCCACGGCACCTGCAACTACACGGTGGCCAAGACCTGCAGGGATGACTCCGTCCTGCCCTCCTTCCATGTCACGGCCAAGATCGAGAACAGGGGGAACACACAGGTCTTCTACATTGGGTCGGTAACTGTCCAGGTGGATGGAGTCACCATCACAGCAGCCAGGGCTGAGGTCGGCTTTGTGGGGGTAAGTGTTGAGCGTGGTCAGTACTTAGATAGGATACCTTGAAAACATTTACCTAAGGTGTTGCAGGGGGTAGAATTGTTTAAGTAGTAGAGGGTGCTCTCCTCCTGAATTCGTGCTGTCCCTGAAGCCACAGCACTGTACTAGGGGGTGCTGTACTATGTTCAGATGTACAGGTATCCCAGTAGGGTGCACTCTCCCCTTGGAGTCAGTGCTGACCCCAATTCCCATCATGGCAATACCAGGTGCTGTGTGTCATAGAATGGGGCAGGTGGCCAGCAGGGGGCGCTGACCCAATTCCAAAGCTCTGTGCTTGGGGCTACTGTCAGCAACTGGGACATGGGTGTTCAGACCTACTGGCTGGAGCAGTGGCAGTCAGGGCTAGTAGCCAGATCTGGAGTCAGGAACCAGGAGTCAGAGACAAGGGTCAAAACAACCTCCCCAGGAATTGCGTCACTCGCCAATGGCTCTAACTGACACAACCTCTTCCCCCGCAGGAGCCGCTCCCTAACAGCTCTATCCAATGCGGGCCCCTCCCCCGCAGAAGCCACTCCCCAATGGCTCTATCCAACACAGCTCCTCCCCTTCGGGAGCCACTCCCCAACGGCTCTGTCCAACGCAGCCCCTCCCCCTCAGGAGCTGCTCTCTAACGGCTCTATCCAGTGCGGCCCCTTCCCTGCAGGTGCTGCTCCCTAACAGCTCTAACGCACACGCTAGGGTTGCCAGGCATCTGGTTTTCAATCTGAACACCTAGTCGAAAAGGGACCCTGGCGGCTCTGCTCAGCACAGCTGACTGGACTGCTAAAAGTCCGGTTGGCCGCAGAGGGGCAGGCAGGCACCATGCCCAGCTCAGTGCAGCTGGCATGTCCCTCTGGCTCCTACGCGGAGGGGCTGCCAGGGGGGCTCTGCGCACTGCTCCCGCCTGCAGGCGCCGTCCCGAGCACTGGCTCTGCAGCTCCCATTGGCCGGGAACCGTGGCCAATGGAAGCTGCGGGGGCAGGGCCTGCGGGTGGGAACAGTGCACAGAGCCCCCTGGCCTGCAGGCGGGGACAGCACACAGAGCCCCGTGACATGCTGCCATTTCACGCGGACTTCCTCCATCCCTGGAAAATGCTGGGGCTGCCTGAGGTCAGCGCCGCCCGGAGCCCACACCTCACAACCCCTCCTGCATCCCAACCCCCTGCCCCATCCCTGAGCCCCCTTCCGCACCCAAGCTCCCTCCTGGTGCCTGCACCCTGCACCACCTCCCATACCCCAATCCCCTGCCCCAGCCTGGAGCCCCCTCCCACACCCTGAACCCCTCATTTCTGACCCCAGCCCAGAGCCCACACGCCAGCCCAGAGCCCGTACCTCCTCCCACACCCCACACCCCTGCCCCAGCCCGGAGCCCCCTCCCACACTCCAGACCCCCCGGCCCCACCCCCAGCCCAGAGCCGCCTCCTGCACCCCAAACCCCACATCCCTGGCCCCACTCCAGAATCCTCACTCCCAGCTGGAGCCGTCACCCCCTCCTGCACCCCAACCCCCTGCGCCAGCCCAGAGCCCCCTCCTACACTCCAAACCCCTTGGCCCCAGCCTGGAGCCCCCTCCTACACCCCAAACCCCTCATCCCAGCGCCACCCCAGAGCCCAAACCCCCAGCCGACAGCCTTCACCCCCTCCTGCACCCCAACCCCCTGCCCCAGCCCGATGAAAACGGGTGAGTGAGCAAGGATGGGAGAGAGTGAGCGACAGAGGGAGGGGGGATGGAGTGAGGGGGGCAGGGCCTCGGGGCAAGGAGCAGAGCAAGGGTGTTCGGTTTTCTGCAATTAGAAAGTTGACAACCCTAGACGTGGCCCCCTCCCCTGCAGGAGCCGCTCCCTAATGGCTCTAACTGACACAGCTCCCTCCCTGTAGCCACTTCCTAATGGCTCTAACTGATGTACCCCCCTCGCCCTCAAAATTCCAACTTTTGAACTGTTTACAGTGTCGTGGTCGCCATGCTGGTCCCAGGGTGTTAGAGAGACAAGGTGGGAGAGGAAATGTCTCTTATTGGACCAACTTCTGTTGGTGAAAGAGACAAGTCTTCCAGCTACCCAGAGCTCTTCTTCAGGTCTGGGAAGGGTACTCAGGGCTGGTTTATGCTAGAGAATTAGATCGACCCAGATGTGTCGCTCAGAGGCACATAGGTGCCAACTTTTTGGTTCCCGGGGGGTGCCCCAACCCCTCTACACCCCTTTCCCCAGCCCCCACCTCTGGCCCGCCTCTTCCCGCCCCCCTCTCCATCACTTTCCCCAAGTCCCTGCCCCCTCTGCACCCCTTCCTGCCCCCGCTCCTCCCCCTCCCCCCCAGCGCCTCCTGCACACTGTGGAACAGCTGACCTCGGTGAGCAGGAGGCACTGGGAAGGAGGGGGAGGAGCTGATCGGCGTGAAAAATCCGCACTCTGAGCAATGTAATTAAGCCATTGTAAGGGCTTGTCTACACTTACAGAGCTGCACCAGTGCAGCTGCACAGCTGTAGCGCCTAGTGAAGATGCTACCTAGGCTGATAGGACAGGTTCTCTTGTTGGCAAGGGTACTCCACGCAGTCTACACTACAGTGCCAGGTCAATGCAAAGCCGTTGACCTTGACCTAACTATGTTAGTGTCTACAGTAAAATTTCGCTCCCGCCGACATAACTGTCCCTGCTACATCGACTTAATAACTCCACCTCCATGAGAGCTGTAGAGTCAATGTCAATGTAGTTAGGTCGACGCCATATCAATGTAGGTACTGCGTTGATTACATGGACTGTTACTGGCTTTGAGAAGCCATCCCACAATGCCCCACACTGACAGTCCTGGTGAGGATGCACATCGCACAGACACAAGGAGCAAAGAGTAGACATGCACAAGCGATGTAATCACTGAGGTGGCTTTATGCTGACGAAAAACAGGTCAACTTAATTGTGTAGTGTAGCCATGCCCTGATGGGTGGTACCTATGTCAATAGGAGATGCCCTCCTGTCAAAATAGCGCTATCTGCACTGGGGGATAGGTCAGTATAACTGCGTTGCTCAGGGGTGTGGATTTTCCACAGCTGCAGCTTTCCAAATGTAGACGAGCCCTCAGAGTGTCATAGCTAAATACAAGGTAGAACAGATTGTTTAGCATAAGTAGTTAAACCCACTGACATCATAGGACACAAAGGGTGGGTTATTGGGTTACAGATTGCTGTAATAATCTATAACGCCAGTGTCTTTTTTAAAACCATGATTTTTACTGTGCAGCAAAGTTAAGAATTTAGGATCCCAGTCTTGACTTTTAAAAGTGTGGTTCCATTATTAAACAACTTTCAAAACATTGAAATCCTCCAAAGAGAATTACATTTCTCCACCCAGCTCTATTTAATATGATGTTTTAAAGTAATTCTGGTTCAGATTTGGGTCCAGGTTGCACCCCTTGCTAATCTGAGTAGGGGCCACTTTGCAAATGACAGACTAGTGCATTCAATTGTGACCTTTGCCCTTTCTTTCTCACCGTGAAGGTGAATAACACCAGGGCCCACTTACCCATCTCCCTGAACAATGGGGCCCTTCAGCTCTATCAGAGCGGCACCTCCCTTGTCCTCCGCACCGACTTCAACCTCAGAGTGACCTATGACTGGAACAACCACCTGAGGGTCACTGTCCCCAGGGTCTTTTTGGACAGCCTGTGCGGCCTGTGCGGCAACTATAACGGGGACCCCTCCGATGACTTCCGGACCCCGGACGGGGACCGGGCTCCCAGTGTCGCCGCCCTGGGGAAAAGCTGGGCAGTGGAAGATGAGGATCAGTTTTGCTGGCACGATTGCATTGGAGGTTGTAGGCCCTGTGCCCCCAGCATAGCCAGAAAGTACAAGGAGGAGGCCTTCTGCGGCCTCATAACCAAGGTCTCAGATGGGCCCTTCAGCCAGTGCCACAGCAAGGTGGATCCTACAGTCTACTTGGACAACTGCGTGTATGATCTGTGCCACAACGACGGCTACAGGAAGGCCCTGTGTGAGGCCCTGAAGGCCTACGCGGACGCCTGCCAGCTGGAGGGGGTCAGGATTGGGGAATGGAGGCAGCTGGCCAGATGCCGTGAGTACAGATTTGTATGCCAAGGTCTACGGTCTGCTGGTTAGACTGGGGAGCCTGGGGAACTCAGCACTCTTGAGTTCTAGCCCTGGTTTTGGGAGGGGGTGTGATCGAGTGGTTTGGGATTGAGCAGCGATTGGGAAATCAGGACTCCTGGGTTCTATTGTACCCACAGTACTTGTCTGTCCGTGGTATTGCTAAGGTGCCTGTCACTTTGAGTATCTAACGTCCACTGATAACTCATGGATGGTTGGGGTAAAATGACGCCTGTTTTTAAGTCACTCTTCCTACCATGAACCTGATCCTGTAAGGTGCTAATCACCTCTTGCAGTGTGCTGAGCACCCTCACCTCCTGTTCAGGTCACTGGGATTCGAGGGCTCTCAGAGCCCCACAAGATACATCCCCCTCTGCCTATTTTAAATACTGCTTTTGCATGGAGAGAACTTTCTGCTAAATCTGTGGGTCCTTCACTCCCCAGCCATGGAGTGCCCCCTGGAGAACAGCCAGTACCAGCTCTGTGGAACAGCCTGCCCAGCCACGTGTGTGGACCAGTCAGTCCCCAGCAGCTGCGAAGACCCCTGTGTAGAAAGCTGCCAGTGCAAGGATGGTTTTGTGCTGAGCCAGGGCAAATGCATCCCCAAGGGCAGCTGTGGGTGCCAGTTTGAGGGGCGACCCTATGCCCCCAATGAGAGCTTCTGGGTCGATGAGGTATGTGGGACACGGTGCATGTGCAACGCAGCCACTAGACAAGTCGAATGCGTGGCCGCTACGTGCAAACACTCGGAGAGGTGCGGGCTAGTGAATGGCGTACGGGGCTGTTACCCCTCCAGCTACGCCACCTGCTCTGTGACAAGGAATCTGCACTATACCACCTTTGATGGACAGAGATACGACTTCAAAGGCACCTGCCGCTACCAGCTCACAGGTCTGTGCAAGAAGGTGGAGGGACTGGTGGACTTTGAAGTCAACTTCCAGGAAAACAATACCGCTCCTCTACAGATCAAGGTGTATCAGACCAACCTCAGGATCAGCAATCAATTCCCTGGGAAAGTCCTGGTGAGTTTCTCAAATTGTCTCTAATCTCTCTAAAATATTTGTGGAAAGTCACCTGTGTGATCCAGAGAAGTTGCAGACAGTGCATGGAAGGATTTTGAAATATAGGGTGAATTGTAACCACATTCTTCTATAAACGGAGCCAATGGAGATATTTAAGGATTGGGGTGATGTGGTTACACTTCGGATGTGTGAGAAGGTCTCTGAATCATAGAATCGTAGGGCTGGAAAGTACCTCGAGAGGTCATCTAGTCAAGTCCCCTGACTCATGGCAAGATTAAGTATTACCTAGACCATCCCTGACAGGTTTTTGTCTAACCTGCTCTTAAAAATCTCCAATGATGGATATTCCACAACCTCCCTGGGCAATTTATTCCAGTGATTAACTACCCTGACAGTTAGGAAGTTTTTCCTAACGTCCAACCTAAACCTCCCTTGCTGCAATTTAAGCCCATTGCTTCTTGTCCTATCCTCAGAGGTTAAGGAGAAAATTTTTTCACTCTCCTCCTTGAAACAACCTTTTATATACTTGAAAACTATCATCATGTCCCCTCTCAGTCTTCTCTTCTCCAGACTAAACAAACCCATTTTTCCAATCTTTCCTCAGAGGTCATGTTTTCTAGACCTTTAATCATGTTTGTTGCTCTTCTCTGGACTTTCTCCAATTTGACCACATCTTTCCTGAAATGTGGCACCCAGAACTGGACAAAATACTCCAACTGAGTCCTAATCAGTGCAGAGTAGACCAGAAGCATTACTTCTTGTGCATTGCTTACGACAGTCCTGCTAATATATCCTAGAATGATGTTTGCTTTTTTTGCAACAGTGTTACACTGTTCAGTCATATTTAGCTTGTGATCCATTATGACCCCCAAATCCCTTTCTACAGTACTCCTTCCTAGGCAGTCATTTCCCATCTTCTATGTGTGCAACTGATTGTTCTTTCCTAAGTGGAGCACTTTGCATTTGTTACTCCTGGGGAAATTCTCACATAATTGTGTATTTTCCCACATAAAAAACATTTTGCCTCAGAAGTGCTGCAGTTCTGCCTTTTGCCCACCAGAGGCCGCTGTGGCGCCAGAACAGTCAGCTGCATTTATGACAGGTTTCAGAGTAGTGGTCGTGTTAGTCTGTATCCTCAAAAAGAACAGGAGTACTTGTGGCACCTTAGAGACTAACAAATTTATTTGAGCATAAGCTTTCGTGGGCTACAGCCCACTTCATCTGATGCATAGAATGGAACATATAGTAAGGAGATATATATACACATACGGAGAACATGAAAAAGTGGGAGTTGTCCTACCAACTCTAAGAGGCTAATTAATTAAGAGAAAAAACGTTTGTAGTGATAATCAAGATAGCCCATTACAGACAGTTTGACAAGAGGTGTGAGAATACTTAACATGGGGAAATAGATTCAATGTGTGTAATGGCTCAGCCATTCCCAGTCTCTATTCAAACCTAACTTGATGGTGTCTAATTTGCATATTAATTCAAGTTCAGCAGTTTCTCGTTGGAGTCTGTTTTTGAAGCTTATCTGTTGCAAAATTGTCACCTTTAAGTCTGTTACTGAGTGGCCAGAAAAGTTGAAGTGTTCTCCTGCTGGTTTTTGAATGTTATGATTCCTGATGTCAGATTTGTGTCCATTTATTCTTTTGCGTAGAGACTGTCCGGTTTGGCCAGTGTACATGGCAGAGGGGCATTGCTGGCACATGTTGGCATATATCACATTGGTAGATGTGCAGGTGAATGACCCCCTGATGGCGTGGCTGATGTGATTAGGTGCTATGATGATATCACTTGAATAGATATGTGGACAGAGTTGGCATCAGACTTTGTTGCAAGGATAGGTTCCTGGGTTAGTGTTTTTGTTCTGTGGTGTGTGGTTGCTGGTGAGTATTTGCTTCAGGTTGGGGAGCTGTCTGTAAGTGAGGACAGGTCTGTCTCCCAAGATCTGTGAGAGTGAGGGATCATCTTTCAGGATAGGTTGTAGATCTTTGATGATGCCAGGGCCGCCCGGGGGGGGGGCAAGTGGGGTAATTTGTCCCAGGCCCCGGGTCCCGCAGGGGCCCCCACGAGAGTTTTTCGGGGCCCCTGGAGTGGGGTCCTTCACTCACTCTGTGGGCCCCGGAAAACTCTCGTGGGGCCCGGGCCCCCGGAGCTTCTTCCATTCCGGGTCTTCGGCGGTGGGGAGTCCTTCCGCTCCGGGACCCGCCGCTGAAGCAACGGTTCTTCAGCGGCAATTCGGCGGCGGGGGCCCCCTGAATCCTCTGGGCGGCCCTGGATGATGCCCTGGAGAGGTTTTAGTTGGGGGTTGAAGGTGACGGCTAGTGGCGTTCTGTTATTTTCTTTGTTGGGCCTGTCTTGTAGTAGGTGACTTCTAGGTACTCTTCTGGCTCTGTCAATCTGGTTTTTTCACTTCAGCAGGTGGGTATTGTAGTTTTAAGAATGCTTGATAGAGATCTTGTAGGTGCTTGTCTCTGTCTGAGGGATTGGAGCAAATGCGGTTGTATCTTAGAGCTTGGCTGTAGACAAATGGATCGTGTGGTGTGTCCTGGATGGAAGCTGGAGGCATGTAGGTAAGTATAGTGGTCAGTAGATTTCCGGTATAGGGTGGTATTTATGTGACCATCGCTTATTAGCACAGCGGTGTCCAGGAAACGGACCGCTTGTATGGATTGGTCTAGGCTGAGGTTGATGGTGGGATGGAAATTGTTGAAATCATGGTGGAATTCCTCAAGGGCTTCTTTTCCATGGGTCCAGATGATGAAGATGTCATCAATGTAGCGCAAGTAGAGTAGGGTCGTTAGGGGACGAGAGCTAAGAAAGCGTTGTTCTAAGTCAGCCATAAAAATGTTGGCATTCTGTGGGGCCATGCGGGTACCCATAGCAGTGCCGCTGACCTGAAGGTATATATTGTCCCCAAATGTGAAATAGTTGTGGGTGAGGACAAAGTCACGAAGTTCAACCACGAGGCTGAATTTATGGGGCTGTTCTAGCGCCGCAGCGGCCTCTGGTGTGCAAAAGGCAGAATTGCAGCACTTCTTAGGCAAAATGTATTTTATGCGGGAAAATACTAAATTCTATGCCCAGTTCTGCAGAATTCCCCCATGAGCAGCACCTGGCCCGTGGAGGCAGTTTAGGACAGAGTGGGGCACACAGGGCTGCTGGGGGGGGTCACAGACTGGGGTTCAGAATGACTTGTGGGGGGGACAGATTGGAGCATGGGCTCAGGAGCTAGTTGGGTGACAGTGTTGAGCCTGGGGATGGGGGAGGGGGGCTGCAGAGACCTATGGGGATGAGGGGTGTGGGGACGGGGCAGATGTGCCTGACTGAATGGGAGAGGCTTGGGGTCATCCAGGGTCTTCATAGGGGAGGCTTCCCAACACCCTAACAATCCCACCCCCCATGAAGAAAAACCTCCCACCCACACCCAACACTCTCCAGTTTCACTCCTAGGCTCCTTCTCTCTCCCTGAGGTCCTCCATTACCCCTGACTCCCCAAGCCTTTGCCCTGCTTCTGACAGGTGCAGGAAATACAGTTCTGTATTGTAATTTAAATGAATTACACAAAGTTTTGTATGAATATGCCTAGTAAGGAATCTATTTGTCAAAAATAACTTTACCAGAAACTTTTTTTTAGCACTTTCAATCCCTCCCAACTTGGTATCATCCGCAAACTTTATAAGTGTCCTCTCTATGCCATTATCTAAATCACTGATGAAGATATTGAATAGAACCAGGCCCCAAACGGATCCTTGCAGGATCCCCCTTGATATGCCCTTCCAGCTTGACTGTGATCCACTGATAACTATTCTCTGGGAACATAGGCGTGTGCACACAGGGAATTTTATTTTATTTTTTTAAAGGCAAACATCATAAGGTTGGGGTGTGGGAGGGGGTGTAGTGTGCAAGAAGGGGCTCAGGGCAAGGGATTGGGGCAGAGGAGGGGTGCAGGGCATATGAGAGGGCTCAGGGAATGGGGTTGGGGTGCAGGAGGGGTGTGCAATGCAGGAGGGGGCTCAGGGCAGGGGGTTGGGGTGCAGGAGGGATGTGGAATGCAGGAGGGGGCTCAAGGCAGGGAGTTGGGGTGTAGGGTGCAGCAGGGGGCTCAGGGCAGGGGGTTGGGGTGTGAGGTGCAGGCAGGGGGCTTAGGTCAGGGGGTTGGGGTACAGGAGAGGTGCGGGGTGCGATGGGGGGTCAGGGCAGGGAGTTGGAGTGCATGGGGTGCAGGAGGGGGCTCAGGGAAGGGGGTTGGGGTGCAGGAGGGGTGCGAAGTGCAGGCAGGGGGCTCAGGGCAGGGAGTTGGGGGGTGAGGTGCAGGAGGGGTTCGGGCTTCGGCCCGGCGCTGCTTACCTGCAGTGGCGCACTCCCTGCCTGCCTGCCTGCCCTGGCCCCACGCCATGTCGCGCCTCTCACCACGTCCCTGCACGGCCCCTGGGGAGAGGGTGGCACAGGGCTCCGCGCGCTGCCCTGGCCACACCTCCAGGTACCTCCCCGAAGCTCCCATTGGCCACGGTTCCCCGTTCCCGGCCAATGGGAGCTGCGGGGGGCGGTGCCTGGAGCAACGCACGGGGCCCCAGGGACGTGGTGCCACAACGGCCGATTCTGAGTGTAGCATGGGGCCTGCAGCACCACAGGGGGCAAATCCCGCGGGCCGGATCCAAAGCCCTGAGGGACCAGATCCGGCCCGCAGGCATTAGGGTGTGCCTGGGCACACCTGGCACACTCCATGTGCACGCCTATGTCTGGGAATGGTTTTCCAACCAGTTATGCACCCACCTTATAGTAGCTCCATCTAGGTAGTATTTTCCTAGTTTGTTTGAGAAGGTCATGTGAGACAGTATCAAAAGCCTTACTAAAGTCAAGATATACCACATCTACCTCTTACCTCCCATCCACAAGTGTCCATACTGTCAGAGTGTGCTCTCATCCCCAGTGGGGCACCTCCTTGTGGCCTCAGCTTGGAATTAGCTCTGCCTTTCTGAAGCCCCTTCCTGCGAGTGCTCACTCTATGATACGCTCTCTCTACCTGGACTTGATGGCTCCCTCCTTGTGGCTTGGCCCTCTGGCTAGGCCACTGTAGTTTCTTCTTTCTGGGAGGTTTGTGTACCAAGTGTCACCAACTGTTCCAGACAGTCTTCCAATTCACTGCCCCTCAATGGTGCCACATCCCCAGTGGCTGGTAGGGGAACGTGGGCTCACCCTCATCTTTGGGTTCCAGCCCAGGGACCCTAAAAACAGCAGCTAAGGTCTACCCTGTCCCATGCCTTGTTTCTGATTTTTTGGATTGCTTCCTATGTTGCCTCTATCAGTCTCCTTCTCTACCCTTCTCCGGCTACACCCTTCCCTCCTGGCCAAGACCCCCCCCACCTCTCCCTAGTCTCAGGGAATGACTGCAGACCTCCTCCCTGCAGCCCTCTTCTGCCCTCAGCTACCTTGCTTTATACCAGCCCACCTGTTCCTATTCAGGTGAGCTTCACCCTTTAATTAGTTCTCATTGCTCCCTGGCTCCTCCTCCAGGTGCATCTTAGATGGTTAATTGGCCCATCTAGCCACCTTAACCCTTTCAGGGGCAGGTGTGGGGTGAGCACTCCCACACAGTGTCAATAGCATCCAGCAAAGGTGTGAAACTGGGTAGGTGGGGGACAGAGAGGAGGAAACTGCAACAGCTAATGCCAAGGGAAATTCAAGTCTGGTTAGAGCTGGGATTCAGCCAAGCTGTAGGGAAGGAAGCAGGCCGGACTGGATGAAGATTTGAACAGAGGTGGCTTATTATTGTAATCATGGGCCAGAGTTCTGTGCTGGGGTGAGAGGTTCCACCACAGGCGAGTGATGTTTCATATCCCATGTGTCTTGCTTTTACAGGTGAACAGTTTCCTGATGAATCTTCCCTTGAACCTCATTGATAAGAAAATCTCTGTGTATAGAAAGGGCTGGGCCACAGTGATCCAGGCAGACTTTGGTCTCACCGCTACCTATGCCGGGTGGTCAGGACGCACCACGATCACTCTGCCAGTGACCTACACGGGAGCTGTGTGTGGTCTGTGTGGCAACTTCAACAGTGATAGGGAGGACGACATGCTCATGAGGGATGGCACGCTGGCACCAAGCCCTGTCAGCTTTGGCCAGAGCTGGAAGGTGGGCAACCTCCCGGGATGCTCTGCAGTAACGATACCACCATGCGCAAGTGTAGAGGCTATTGAAAAAGAACAACGAGGTAGCAGAGGGCAGTGTGGGCTCATCCTCCACAAGAATGGCCCCTTCAGAGGATGTCACAGCAAAGTGGACCCCCATGGGTACTTTGTAGACTGCGTGTATGGCTATTGCGTCCTCAGTGAGCGGGAAAGTAACGTCTGCCAGGCCGTTGCTGGCTATGCCGAGGCATGTCAGGAAGCTGGAGCTATGGTGCATCCCTGGAGGACTACGAAATTCTGCTGTGAGTCCCCCGTGTTCATCGCTGCCTGCCCCAAGGGGATCACTATTCCAAGTTGGCTGGTAGATGTTGGTTTAAATGCTGAGCTCATCAATTGATGAATATTTCTTAATTATCAAAGGAGCCCAAAGTATGAGTACAGCACAGGCAGTAGCCATAGAAGCTGCCCCCTCACTGGGCCCTATCAATGTGCTGCACCGCAGGCCAGAGAGGCACTGTCTAGAGATGTAGTGGTGCCCTTCATAGCTCATCTAGTTCTTGGCTTTTGTGCTGAGACTGGGACATAATTAGAGCTGGGGCATGGTGGTGACTCACTAATTGAGATGTCTGTCCACTAGGAACCGGTCTGGGAACCCACCAACTCATCTCCCATAAGCCATCATCTGGGAATGAGTTTTAGGCACTGCTGATCCGTATCCAAACAATAAGCTAATGTTGAAAAGCTCTGCAGAACACTCCCAGGTCCATGGGCCCTCCACTCCCTACACCTTGGCCTTGGTCCAAATTGGAAGCCTAGCCTTAGGAAAGCGATTATCTGTATCCCACTGCCTGGTTTCTTTGGAGCAACCACTTAACCAGACCTGGAACTGGATTACACATGGTGCCTTTTATTAATTAACCAAACCAAGGAAATAGAAAATTAGGAGCTTGAATGAAATTGCATGTTCTGTGATGGTTCATTGTGCACATTGCTAATGCACTATGTGAGCTAACTCTTTGTTCTAATTACAGCTCCGTCCTGTCCCCTGAACAGTCACTACGAATTCTGCAGCAGCAGCTGCGATGTGACATGCAGCAACCTCTATGCCCCGGTGCAATGCACGACCCAGTGTAAGGAAGGCTGCATGTGTAACGAGGGTTTCGTTCTCAGTGGTGACCACTGCATCCCCATTTCCCAGTGCGGATGCCTCCACAGGGGACTTTACTACCAGCCCTGGGAGACCTTCCACCCGAGCGGTTCATGCAAGGAGCAGTGTGTGTGTCAGGCTGGTGGGGACGTTGTGTGTAAGGCTTTCTCCTGCGGCGCTGGTGAGCAATGCGGGGTGGTGAACGGCATCCAGAAATGCCACCCATTTGGATCTGCGACCTGTTCTGCCTCTGGCCATCCCCACTACCTCTCTTTCGACGGGGTCCCCTTTGACTTCCAAGGCACCTGCACCTACATCCTGGCCAAGACCTGCACTGATGCCAGCCACCTTACACCATTCACTATCAGCGTAGAGAAAGAATCTTGGGGCAGTGGGAACGTCTCCATGGCCAAGTTGGTGTCTATTCAGGTGTATGGGATCACACTCACCCTGCTGCAGAGCAAACAGGGGCTCATCATGGTAAGTCCTTCTCCAGATCCTCATTTAGATCGTTCTGAGTGTCCCTTTGTGGCCAGAGGTTTCTGCATGTGGTCTGCCTCAGCTTCCCCTCTTGGACTCCTCAACAACTCACAAAAGGTTTTTACAAGTCCAATAGCAACAGCCCTCCTAAGGGTCTCATTGAAATAGGAGTTTTCACATACAGCCATTCACCGCCTTAGTAATAAGGATTGGCCGCGAGCCTCTGAGGGGCAGGCCACCCTACTACAAGGTTCATATACCAGGCTCATCCACGTGGTATTTGAGCCCCTCCCAGAAATACATTAAGCAACGTGACTAACATCTGCCGCATGTTTGTTCTCTCCTCATCTCCCCAGGAAAGATGTGTTTGCAGTGGGATGTTTTGTTGTGCATTTTTTTAGAATGATAAATGTATACGTGTGTTGCCATATATATGTTGGAGAAAGATGGTCTAAGAATGCACCTTGCACTTGGAAAGGAAGATGGCTAGGTTTGTGAGGGTCCTTACTTTCTGAGACGGTTCATTCTCCAGCCTTGAACCAACTCCTAATAAAGCTTCGTCTCCGGGAGACAAAGTTTATCCTTATTGATGTGATTTCCATTGTGCCAATGGAAAGAAGTTGTCCACCACAGTCTTCAACCTAGAGGTTTAATTCCTCTTTTAGATAGCCTGGGCCCAGGCCATTGAGCACCTTGGGATAAGGACTGAGGACTTGAACTGGATTCCTTGTTCTATGGGAAGCCAGGATAGGGAGTGGAGGACAGGTTTGATGTGTACAGCAGCCAGTGTTGCTGAGGAGGCATGCTGCAGAGTTGTGTAGCACTTGAGTACTCCTATGTGCTGAATGCTTCATGCCCGGGTATACCACCTTGCTATATAGTCCAGCGGGGAAGTGACATAGCCGTGAATGGTTGAAGCCAGGTCATCTTCTGTCAGAATGGGATGCTGTCTCCTACCCAGCTAGAGATGGTAGAAAGTGCTACTCATGGATGCTGCTATGTCAAAGCTTCTCTTGGGTGAGATGAGCATCCTCCAGCTCAGCTCCATCTTTGCCTCCCTTCTTGGTTATACCCCTATCTATGAGTATTAATTATTTGGTGAACCCCCTCCACATACCTCACATTTTGCAAACATTATATCTCCATTGGCCTCTGTGTTGAAGAATCTGTCCCATGGCCTAATGCCCTATGAAGCCTGCAGTCTAATTTGGGGCAAATTGAACACAACACATAGGAAATTGTTTGAGATAGGAGAGGGAGGGAAGAGGTGAAGGAAGGAGGCATCACCAGGGAAGTGGGGGGAGATGGAGAAGAAGTAGGAGACTGTTCTGAGTCCAGGAGTTGGCATGAGAAGGAGCAGGCCAAACATGGGTTGAGGAGTTGGAGAAGGTAAAGAGAGAGAGGATGAGGAGGAAGGGAGGTGCCTGGCAGATGAGATCAGAAATGTAAGTCAGGGTGACAATGTCAAGAGCTTGGAAGGTGAGGACAAATCATTGCAAAGTGAAATCGGGAGTCATGAGTCATTCTGGATTTAACCCATGGTGTCAGTGAGAGCTGGATCTCAAAACTTGTCCATAGCCCCTACCCACACATGCAGTGTCCATCCTACCTGCTCACAGGGGAATGTGCTGTCTTTTCCAGGTGGACGGGGTATCCCACAATCTCCCCGTGATAATGGTCAATGGGCAGCTCCGAGCATATCAGCATGGCACTAATGTCCTGGTGCAAACCGACTTTGGCCTCACTGTGAGCTACGACCTGGTTTACCAGGCCAGAGTCACCATCCCAGGGAGCTACCATGGCCAGACGTGTGGCCTGTGTGGGAACTACAACGGACAGCAGGACGAGGAGTTCCTGCTCCCCAGTGGCAGGACAGCCCCTGATGTGGCAGCATTTGGCTCTGCTTGGGAAGTCCAGATCCCAGGAGCATCCTGTACAGACAGATGTGCTGGAAACAGCTGTCCAGTTTGCGAAGAGAAGAAGAAGGAGGTCTTCAAAGGGCGCAACTACTGTGGGCTGCTCACAGACCCCGACAGTCCCTTTGCGGCCTGCCATGGCACGGTCAGCCCCAGTGTGTATCAGAGCAACTGCCTGTATGATCTGTGCCTGGGCAACGGGGACGCACAGGTCCTGTGCCAGAGCATCCACAGCTACGTGACGGCCTGCCAAGAGGCTAAGGTCTTCATCCAGCACTGGAGGAGCACCTCCTTCTGCCGTAAGTGTGCTGATAGTTTAGGAGCTCTGGGGAAGGGAAGGGGTCAGTGTTACTGGGCATCTTGCTCCAGGCCTCTGGGCTTCTTCTAGAACTCTTCTGGATGGGAACCAACAATCTCATGTTCCCTTACAAAGGCGCCCTGTTCCTCTCCTCCCTCTCCTGCTCTCCTCTCCTTCATGTCTGTTCCTCTAGTCCTTGGTGTGAGATCTTTCCAGCCATCCTTTATTTCTCTCTCTATTTAAGCTGTGAGCTGCCCGGTCAACAGCCACTACGAGCTCTGCGCTGACCTCTGTACCACCGCCTGCTCTAGAGACATCATGGACTGCCCGGAGACCTGTGCTGAAGGCTGCCAGTGTGATAAGGGTTTCTTCTTCGATGGCCAGGGTTGTGTGACTCTGGAGAACTGCGGGTGCTTCAAACAGGGGAGATACTACAAGGTACAGCCTCAAGCAGTCTGGGTCTGATCTAATTTTTTTTCTCACATATCTTAATCCCTACACTAGTCAGGAACAGGGTTTGCTATAGTGGATCAGAGCATTGGCCTATCTAGCCTGGCATCCCCGCTTTGTTAATACCCAGTGCCCAAAGCACCAAGAAAGGCAAGAAGATTTAATTCCCTTCATCCGTTGTGGGGAAACTCAGGCACAGAGTGGGGCAGTGACCTGCTCAAGACCCACCCAGTGAGTCAGTAGCAGATGGGAGATTAAAACCTAGGCATTGTCCTGTCACTCAGCCCAATTCTTAGCTCATTAGAAAGCCTCTCTCTTTAATGTTAAGAGAAATAATATTATGACAATAGTTTTTCACACACCTCATCACACAGCTCTGAGTTTAGCACTGACAGAAATTATTATAAATAACCATTTCCACTTACATTGCGTTATTTCCTCCTTCCCAAACATCCCATCAGCCCAGTGAGATGGTCCTGATGAACGAGTGCCAGCAAAGCTGCACCTGCGTTCCTGCCCAAGGGGTGACCTGCAAAGCCCACAGCTGCACCAGTGGAGCAACCTGCCAGATCAGAGATGGCGTCATGGATTGCATCGGCCAAGGTAAAGTCACTGATTGAAACATGCCCTGAGGGGTTATTGCATAAGCAGTGAGTAAAGTCATTTCAATTATGTCTCCTCACACTTCTCACTCTCTCTCTCCCCTTTTATTTAGCCTGGAACGCTGACCCGTAATATTACAGCATTTTGACTTGAAAGATGGAAACATTTGTTGGGTCAGTCTCTGCTGCGTCCATCTCCTGATGTGCACAGCAGAGCCAAGTGTGCAGGGAGCTGATCACACTCCTAGATCTTCTCCCTGGCTGTAGCCTAGGAGCTGGTCTAAATTGGAGCCTACTGGCTGTGGGGGCCATTAGTCAGCTGGGCACTGTCAGAGCCCAGCACATCCCAGCCATTCTCCTTTGCCTGCTCCATGCTGCCCACAACATGCCCATAGGTGGTGTACCACCTCTGCCGGGCATTGCGGGGAAGGAGACATAGGAGCCGGTTTTGCTGTGGACACACACATGCAGTATGGGACTTGCGGGAGGTTTGTGAATGATGCAAAGGAAGTGTGTATGGGGAGAGAGGAAGAGAGACGGAGGAGTGCATGGTGATAGATAGATATAACGATATGTGTGAGGGGAGAGATAGGTAGATAGATAGATAGATGTTACTGATTAGTCTGCTGTTTCTTGTCTTTCTTTTGTCTTTCCCCACTAGTTATTCCAAAGCCATCCTGCAATGTGGTCAGCTGCAGGGAAGGAACTATTTGTAAGATGATAAATGAGCAGCCAAAGTGTGTGCCAGTCTCTCGGGGCACGTGCTGGGCTGGGGGATACTTTCATTACCACACCTTCGATGGATGGGTGTATGATTTCCATGGCAACTGCACCTACACCGTGGCCAAGACCTGCAGGGATGCCTCCGGCCTGCCCTCCTTCCATGTCATGGCCAAGAGCGAGAACAGTGGGAACACACAGGTCTTCTACATTGGGTCGGTGACTGTCCAGGTGGATGGAGTCACTGTCACAGCAGCCAGGGCTGAAGCCGGCTTTGTGTGGGTGAGTGCTGGGCGCGCACGTCCACCCTGCTCCTATGTCCACCCTGTAGGCTTTGCTAAATAGAGGGCAGGAAACTGCAGCCCTCCACCACAGACGGGGCATGTTGTGGGTAGGACAGAGCAGGCAAAGGAGCAAAGGAGAGTGGCTGGGAGGTGATGGGCCCTGACAGTGCCCAGCTGGCTAATGGCCCCTATGGGACCACAGCCAGTCAGTTCCATTTAAAGCAGCCCCCAGGCTATGCCCAACATAGACAAGGCCCAGTGTGGTCAGTAGTTAGATAGGTTACCTTTGCAATGAAGTAATCGAAGGCTTTGCAGTGGGGAGTCTTGTTGAAGTAGTAGGGTGTGCTCTGCTGCTGTATCAGTGCTGTTCCTTAAGTCCCAACACTGTGCTAGTGGATGGGTAGGCTTCCTAATAGGGGCACCCTGTGCTCAGAGTCAGTGCTGACACCAATGGCCAGTAGCCACTGTGTTGAGCTACAGGGAGTGGGGTGGGCCACCTAAAAGGGAACATTGTCCCGGCAAGTCAGTGCTGACCCCAATGCCTATCTAGCAGGTGCTGTGTGGCAGGGAGTAATGTGGGAGGTCAGTTGGGGGCGCTGTCCCTCAGAGTCACAGCATGGTGCTACAGAGTGCTGTACTGAAGGGTGCGGGGTGCATAACTCGGTGTGGGGAGCTGTCGGCTCTGTCTCAAGCACATGGGATCTGCATGCCAGATAAAGTGTAGACCTGAGCATTTGGTCATTACCTATCCCCAGCGCATCATGCAAGAGCAGGGCCAGTATTCCAGCTATTGTGGGCAAATCCCAGCTCCGCTGAGTCCATCCTGTCACAAATTCCCCAGCAGTTTCTAATGTAACAGGGATCCCTCTGAGACCCCACCTGAGGTGAATCCCCACTCCTGGATCCAGGAGGACATTGCCTGAACTCTAAGATACGGGGAAACGGAGGCGAAGCTAGGCAGCTCAGGGCTTTACCCTACAGAGCCTGCTCCAACCTGAGGTACCTCAGGGACCCTAGAACATTGTAGACAGCTCCTTGAGACCTCTTGCCCCTCAAGTGCTCCTCCTAAGGGCTCTCACCCACGCAGCATTGTCCCCACAAGAGCCGCTCCCTAATGGTTCTAACCAATGCAGCCCCCGTCCCCTAGAGTAGCTCCCACTCATTCTTCTCCTCAGTCCTTTTGTCTACAACAGGCTACACCACAATCATGGATATAATGTAGGACCTGGTTGGAAAAATCCTATGAATAGCAATGGGGCCAAATCACAATTTCCAGTGAATCTGGACACAAACTTGAACCAAATTTGGATTAAAACATCACATTAGATAGAGCTGGCCTGAGAAAGCTAATTTCATTGGCAGAAAGATTTCAATATTTTGAAAATTAGCTTCATTCCAATATGGAATGAAATATGGAACAAAACTCATAAATTACTAAATTTTCTATGAAGACGAATGGAGCCCCAGCTCCAGTCAGTCCGCCCAGCAGGCTGCTGAGGAGCTGGTGGCAGGAAAAAACAGACAGGTTTTGAAATCGGCCTTGTTTCCATCAGAACTCCTTGGAAAAGGAACAATCTTCTCAAAACGCTTTTGATTTTGATGAATAGGCAAATACTAGTGAAAAACTATATCAGAGTAGAACTCAGTATGTACATGACAGACCTGTGCTCTCGATTGTGACCTTTGCCCTTTCTTTCTCACCATGAAGGTGAATAACACCAGGGCCCACTTACCCATCTCCTTGAACAACGGGGTCCTTCGGCTCTATCAGAGCGGCACCTCCCTCGTCCTCCGCACCGACTTCAACCTCAGGGTGTCCTATGACTGGAACAACCACCTGAGGGTCACCGTCCCTAATGACTTCTCCGACAGTCTGTGCGGCCTGTGCGGCAACTATAACGGGGACCCCTCTGATGACTTCCGGACCCCGGACGGGGATCTGGCTCCCAGTGTCACCGCCCTGGGGAAAAGCTGGGCAGTGGAAGATGAGGATCAGTTTTGCTGGCATGATTGCATTGGAGGCTGCAGACCCTGTGCCGCCAGCATAGCCAGAAAGTACAAGGAGGAGGCCTCGTGCGGCCTGATAACCAAGGTCTCAGATGGGCCCTTCAGCCAGTGCCACAGCAAGGTGGATCCTACAGTCTACTTGGACAACTGCGTGTATGATCTGTGCCACAACGACGGTTACAGAAAGGCCCTGTGTGAGGCCCTGAAGGCCTATGCGGACGCCTGCCAGCTGGAGGGGGTCAGGATTGAGGAATGGAGGCAGCTGGCCAGATGCTGTGAGTACAGATTTGTAGGCCAAGGTCTACGGTCTGCTGGTTAGACCGGGGAACCTGGGACTCAGCACTCTTGAGTTCTAGCCCTGGTTTTGGGAGGGGGCGTGATCGAATGGCTTGGGATTGAGCAGCGATTGGGAAATCAGGACTCCTGGGTTCTGTTGTACCCACAGTACTTGTCTGTCTGTGGAATTGCTAAGCTGCCTGTCACTTTGAGTATCTGACATCCACTAATAACACATGGGAGCTGGGGTAAGATGGTGACAGTTTAAGTCACTCAGAATCACAGATTCTAAGCCAGTGGATCTCAACCTATTTATTATTGTGGGATGCATATGCAGCTCTCTAGGTGTTATATGGGCTGCAGCCACACAATATATATACTACCTGTATGGCCCAGAGGATGTCACATGGGCCACAGCGACCTGTGGACCTCGGGTTGAGAACCACTGCTCTAAGGCCCGAAGGGACCATGATGTTAATCTAGTCTGACCTCTTGCACGTTGCAGCCCACAGAACCTCTCCCACCCACTCCTGTAACCGACCCCAACCTCTTGCTGAGTTACTGACATCCTCAAACCTTGATTTAAAGACTTCAAATTCCATAGAATCTGTCATTTACACTTGTTTAAACCAGCAAGTAACCTGTGACTCAAGATGCAGCGGAAGGCAAATAATCTCTAGGGTCTACCAATCTGACCTGGGGGGAAAATTCCTTCCTGACCTCAAATATGGCAATCAGCTGGACCCTGATCATGTGGGTGAGACCCTCCAGCCAGACACCTGGGAAAGAATTCTCTGTTGTAACTCAAAAACCTCCCCATGTAGTGTCCCGTCACTGGCTGTTGGAGACATTGCTGCTACCACTCGCAGATCAGCTACATGCCATTGTGAGCAGTCGCATCATACCATCCCCTCCATAAACTTATCAAGCTCAGTCTGGAAACCAGTAAGGTGTTATGCCCTTATTGCTCCCCTTGGAATGCTATTCCAGAACTTCACTCCTGTGATGGGTATCATCTAATTTCTAGGCTAAACTTGTTGATGACCAGTTGATGTCCATTTGTTTTTGTGTCAACATTGGCGCTTAATTTAAGTAACTCCTCTCCTCCCTGGTGTTTATCCCTCTGATGTATTTATAGAGAGCAATCATATCTCCCTTCAGCCTTCTTTTGGTTAGGCTAAACAAGCCAGTCTTGTCTCATAAGTTAGGTTTTCCATTCCTTGGATCATCCTAGTCGCCCTTCTCTGCACCTGTTCTAGCTTGAATTAATCTTTCTTAAACATGGGAGACCAGAATTGCACACACTATTCCAGATGAGGTCTCACCGGTGCCATGTATAATGGTACTAACACTTCCCTGTCTCTACTGGCAATACCTCTCCTGATGCATCCTAGGACTGCATTAGCCTTTTTTCACAGCCGCATGGCATTGGTGGCTGTTAGCCATCCTGTGCTCAACTAATACATCCAGGTCTTTCTCCTCCTCTGTCACTTCCAACTGATACATCCCCAGTTTATAACAAAAATTCTTGTTGTTAGTTCCTAAATGCATGACCTTGCACTTTGCACTATTAAATTTCATCCCATTTCTATTACTACAGTTTTCAAGGTCATCCAGATCTTCTTGTATGATATTCCGGTTCTCCTCCATATTGGTAATACCCCCCAATCTTGTGTCATCTGCAAATTTTGTTACCACTTTTTGTGCCAATGTCATTAATAAAAACGTAAAATAAGATTGAACCCAAGACCAATCCCCGAGGAACTCCACTATTAACCTTCCTCCAGCCTAACAATTCACATTTCAATATGTCCTGTTGTAGTCTCCCCTTTAACCAGTTGCTTATCCACCTTACAATTCTCATACTAATCTCCATCTTCTCCAATTTAACTAATAATTTCCCATACGGAACTGTATCAAATGCCTTACTGAAATTCAGGTACATAAGATCTACTGCATTTCCTTTGTCTAAAAAATCAGTTATCTTCTCAAAGAAGGTGATCAGGTTGGCCGGGCATGATCTACATTTTGTAAAACCATGTTGTATTTTATCCCAATTACCATTTACCTCTGTTTCCTTACTGCTTTCTTTTTCAAAGACCCGCATACAACTGAGGTCAAACTAACAGGCCTGTAGTTTCCTGGACCACTTTTCTCCCTTTCTTAAAAATAGGACCAATATTAGAAATTCTCCCCCAAGTTGACATATTTATTAAAAATCCTTGCTATTGGGCTTGCAATTTCATGTGCCAGTTGCCTTAATATTCTTGGATGGAGATTATACAGGCCCCCCGATTTAGTCCCATTAAGCTCTTTGAGTTTGACTTCCACCTCGGATGCGGTAACTTCTACTTCCATATACTTGTTCCCATTAGCTATCCTGCCACTACCCCAAAACTCTCCATTACCCTTATTAAAAACGGAGGCAAAGTATTCGTTTAGGTGTTATACCTGGATTATCTTTAATCTCCACCCCATCCTCAGTGCTTAGTGGTACCTTTTTATTTATATGGCTATAGAAAATTTTACTCTTGGTTTAATTTCGTTTGCAAGGTCCAACTTTGCTTGGCTTTTGCCAGTTCTCACTTTATCCCTACACTTTCTGACCTTCAAGAGGTAGCTTTCCTTCCTGATCCAGCCCTTCTTCTATTCTTTGTAGGCTTTCCGCTTTCTCTTAATCACCTGTTTGAGACGTTTGCTCATCCAGCTCAGTCTGCAACCCTTCCCTATGAGTTTTTCCCCTTGCTTGGAATGCAGACTTCAGATTGTTTCTGAAACTCCAAGCCTCCTTCACATTCAGATCCTTGAGTTCTTCAGTCCAGTCTACTTCCTGGACCCTAACTAATTCCCTTATTTTTTTTAAAGTTTGCCCTTTTGAAATCAAGGGATCCTAGTTGCAGATCTATTTTTGTTTATCTTTCCATTTAAACTGAATTAGTTCATGATCACTTGAACCCAGGTTGTCCCCTACAACCAGTACTTCTAGGAAGTCCTCACTACTCACCAATACCAAATCTAAAATGGCATCACATCTTGTTGGTTCAGGGAGTATTTGGTGAAGAAATCTGTCAGGTATCCCATCCAGGAAAATCTGGGCCCTACTATTATTGGTAACACTTTTCCTCCAATCTATATCTGGGAAGTTAAAATCTCCCATAATCACACAATTCCCAATAGTATTTCTTTCATTATAGCCCCACAAGATACATCCCCCTCTGTCTATTTTAAATACTGTTTTTGCTTGGAGAGAACTTGCTGCTAAATCTGTGGGTCCTTCACTCCCCAGCCATGGAGTGCCCCCTGGAGAACAGCCAGTACCAACTCTGTGGAACAGCCTGCCCAGCCACGTGTGTGGATCAGTCAGCCCCCAGCAGCTGCCAAGACCCCTGCGTAGAAAGCTGCCAGTGCAATGATGGTTTTGTGCTGAGCCAGGGCAAATGCATACCCAAGAGCGGCTGTGGGTGCCAGTTTGAAGGGCGCCCCTATGCCCCCAACGAGAGCTTCTGGGTAGATGAGGCATGTGGGACATGGTGCACGTGCAACGCAGCCACTAGACAAGTTGAATGCGTGGTTGCTACGTGCAAACACTCGGAGAGGTGTGGGCTAGTGAATGGCATACGGGGCTGTTACCCCTCCAGCTACGCTACCTGCTCTGTGACAAGGAATATGCACTATGCCACCTTTGATGGACAGAGATACGACTTCCAAGGCACCTGCCGCTACCAGCTCACGGCCCTGTGCAAGAAGGCAGAGGGACTGGTGGACTTTGAGGTCTACTTCCAGGAGAACAATACCGCTCCTCTACAGATCAAGATTTATCAGACCAGCCTCAGGATCAGCAATCAATTCCCTGGGAAAGTCCTGGTGAGTTTATCAAATTGTCTCTAATCTCTCTAAAACATTTCTAGAAAGTCACCTGTGTCATCAACACAGGTTACAGACAGTGCATGGAAGGACTGTGAAATATAGAATGATTGGTAACTGGATTCTTCTATGAACAGGGAGTTGATGGAGATATTTAAGGATTGTGGTGCTGCCATTTCACTTGACATGGGTCAGAAAGTGTCAGTAGCATCCAGCATATGTGGGAACCTGGGGCTCAGGTAGAACAGAGAGGAGGGAACTGCAATAGCCAAAGCCAGAGGTAATGAAAGTCTGGTTGGAGGATCCTGTCCAGTCTGGAGAGCTGGGATTCAGGCAGGTTGTAGGGATTGGAGCAGGGCAGACTGGACAAAAAGTTAAACAGAGGTGGATTTTTATTGTAATTATGGGCTGGAGCGAGAGGTTCCACCACGAGCGAGCAATGTTTCATATACTGAATGATTTGCTCTTACAGATGAATGGTTTCCTGATTAACCTTCCCTTCAACCTCAATGATAAGAAAATCACTGTGTATAGAAAGGGCTGGGCCACAGTGATCCAGGCAGACTTTGGCCTCACCGTTACCTATGCCGGGTGGTCAGGACGCATCACGGTCACTCTGCCAGTGACCTACGCGGGAGCCGTGTGTGGTCTGTGTGGCAACTTCAACAAGGACAGGGAGGACGACTTGCTCATGAGGGGTGGCACGCTGGCACCAAGCCCAGTCAGCTTTGGCCAGAGCTGGAAGGTGGGCGACCTCCTGGGATGCTCTGTAGTAACGATACCACCATGCGCAAGTATAGAGGCTATTGAAAAGGAACAACGAGGTAGCAGGGGGCAGTGTGGGATCATCCTAGACAAGAATGGCCCCTTCAGAGGATGTCACAGCAAAGTGGACCCCCATGGGTACTTCATAGACTGCGTGTACAGCTATTGTGTCCTCAGTGAGCGGGAGAGTAACGTCTGCGAGGCCATTGCTGGCTATGCTGAGGCATGTCAGGAAGCTGGAGCTATGGTGCATCCCTGGAGGACTACGAAATTCTGCTGTGAGTCACCTGTGTTCACTACTGATTGGCCCATGGGGCTTGTTAATTTTTGTTGGCTGGTAAATGTTGAGCTAAATGCTCAGCATATCCTGTTCTGCAGAATGTTTCTTAAGAGACAAAGAAGCCCTCTCTCCAAAGGATGGGTACAGTCATAGGAGCTGGCCCCCCACCGTGCCCTATCAATGTGCTGCACCCCAGGCCAGAGAGGCACTGTCTGGGGATGTAGTAGTTCCCTCCATGGTCTATCCAGTCAATCCTTGGCTTCCCTGCTGAGCCTGGATACAATCAGAGGTGGGAGTCAGTGGAGTCTTAGTAATTGAGATATCTGTCCACTAGGAACTAGTTTGGGAACCCACCAACTCGTCTCCCATAAGCCATCATCTGGGAATGAGTTTTAGGAACTACTGACCTGGAATCAAAGCAAAAAGCTTGTGGTGAAAAGCTCTATAGAACAATTCCAGGCCCACGAGCACTCCACTCCCTACACTCTGATCTTGGACCAGATTAGAAGCCTAACCCTTGGAGAGAGATGGTCTGTATCCCATTACCTGGTGTCCAGGGGCAGCTCTAGGCACCAGCAAAGCAAGCACGTGCTTGGGGCAGCCCATTTGCAGGGGTGGCAGGGATCCAGCATGGGAGCTAAGAACCAACAGGGGGCCCTGGGAGCTGTAGTTCCTTGGTTAGCTCCCTGCCTATAGAGCCAGCCCTGGAGCAGGGAAAGAACTACATTTCCCAGCATTCCCTTGGCCACTACCAACAGGAAAGACGGGGAGGGAATGAGGAAGCTGAGACCATTCTACAGCCTGCTTTGAATGGAGAGCTGCACTGGGAAGGGTAGGGATACCATATTTTAACATTCAAAAAATAGGACACTCCACGGGAAGGGAGGGTAGCCCCACCCTGCCACCATCCACTCCCTCCAACTGCCCCCCACAGAAACCACAACCCATCCAACCCCCTTGCTCCCTGTCCCCTGATCACCCCCTCCCGGGACCCCTGCCCCAACTGCCCCCCAGGACCCCACCCCCTATCTAAGCCACACTGGTCCTTGTCCCATGATTGCCCCCTCCTGAGACCCCACCCCCTATCTAAGCCTCCCTTCTCCTTGTCCCCAACTGCCCCCTCCTGAGACACACCCCCTCAAGTTCACCCCTAGGACCCCACCCCCTACCTGTCCCCTGACAAACCACTGGGACTCCCATTCCTATCCAACTTCTGCCTGTCCACTGAGTGCCCCCCCAAACCTCTGCCCCATCCAACCCCCCCTGCTCCCTGTCCCTTGACTGCCCCCCCCCCTCGGAACCTCCTACCCCTTCTCCAACCTCCCAGTCCCCTTACCGTGCCACTCAGACCAGTGTGTCTGGCTTCGCGCAGTGCCAGACACGCTGCTGCATACATGCTGCCGTGCTCCCCTGCGGAGCCACAGTCCCCTCCCCCCAGCACCTGCCTTCCAGATTTGAACACCTCAAAATTCAGGAGTGCTCAAGCTCAGTTACTTCATTTCTCCCAAATCAAATATGTTGATCCACTGTAACTTGCTGTAGAAAAAGTAGGATAAAATTGAGCAAGAAATGCTTCCCAGTGGTTATTACGACTGGAATTGCTATTTTCAACAGTCATTGCCTTTTTTGTTTGTTTGTTTGTTTAAAAGGAAGACCGTGATATCGCATTGGCAAATTCCCCATAGAAAGAAAGAATGGAACAAAAGAATAATAAAGGCACCTCAACTTTTCCTCATTTATGTAGGACAGTCTTACAATATGCATCCAGACATCCTCCAATCACACAAGCTGAAAATTGTTCCACTTTACTGCAGTTCTGTAACCATATGGGAACCAATCCTGTCTGTGTTCTGTGCACATCTAAAATTCCTGCTGAATGACCTGCCCTGGGAGCGAGTTACCAGTGACCCAGGGCTGCGGCGGAAGGAGGGTGCAGGTGGGGGTGGGGGGAGAGAGCCCAGGGCTGGGGCAGCAGGAGGTTTGTGTGGGGGGCAATGGTGGGGGGGTACGGGGGAACCCAGGCCTGGGACGGCAGGGGGATGCGGGTGGGGGGGTGAGAGCCCAGGGTTTGGGCGGCAGGGGGGTGCGGGTGGGGGGGGGGGCGGCGAGGAGCCCAGGGCTGGGGCGGGGCGGGGCAGCCAAAATGTTTTTTGCTTGAGGCAGCAAAAAACCTAGAGCCGGCCCTGCTGGTTTCTCTGGGGCACCCAGTCCCCCAGACTGGGACCTAATTAGAGATGTTGCCCTTTTATTAATTAATCAAACCAAGGAAATAGAAAATTAGGAGCTTGAATGAAATTGCATGTTCTGTGATGGTTCATTGCGCACATTGCTAATGCACTATATGAGCGAACTCTTTGTTCTAATTACAGCTCCGTCCTGTCCCCTGAACAGTCACTATGAATTCTGCAGCAGCAGCAGCTGCGATCTGACATGCAGCAACCTCTATGCCCCGGTGCAATGCAAAACCCAGTGTAAGGAAGGCTGCATGTGTGACCAGGACTTTGTTCTCAGTGGTGACCACTGTGTCCCCTTTTCCCAGTGCGGATGCCTCCACAGAGGACTTTACTACCAGGCCGGGGAGACCTTCCACCCGAGTGGTTCATGCGAGGAGCAGTGCGTGTGTCAGGCTGGTGGGGAGGTTGTGTGTAAGGCATTCTCCTGCGGCACTGGTGAGGAATGCGGGGTGGTGGACGGTGTCCAGAAATGCCACCCATTTGAACCTGTGACCTGTTCTGCCTCTGGCCATCCCCACTACCTCTCTTTCGACGGGGTCTCCTTTGACTTCCAAGGCACCTGCACTTACATCCTGGCCAAGACCTGCACCGATGCCAGTCACCTAACACCATTCACTATCAGCATAGAGAAAGAAGATTGGGGCACTAGGAATATGTCCGTGACCAAGCTGGTGTCCATTCAGGTGTATGGGATCACACTCACCCTGCTGCAAAACAAACAGGGGCTCATCATGGTAAGTCCTTCTCCAGATCCTTATTTAGATCATTCTTGATTCCTTTTGGACAGGAGAGATTCTCTTCTCTTCTATACTGGTTTGTCCTCTCATGGCCAGAGGTCACTCTATAGGTGGCCTTCCTCAGTTTACCCTCTTGGACCTCTGAATAACTTTTACAACTTCTAATAATAGCAGCCCTCCTAGGGGTTTGGTTTATTAAATTAGCACACATTATGAATAAAGTTTTCACATCCACCCATTTACCTGGTCACTCCCAGGCTTTTCCTGCCTGTCTTCTCACTTCCCGAGTTTCAGGTTTCCTTGCTGGAGTGTACTGGTCTGCATCAGCCTCTCCACTCTCTTCTGTTTTCCCTGGGAACTCTTTGTGCTGGGCCATCAGCCTGGCCTTCACCAGCTGCTCTTATAGGGGAATCATGTAATTGGTGCTCAGGTGTGCCTACTTAGTAATACCTACTTGTAATGCTTACTTGTCTGGCCTCAGGCCACTAGCCCTTAAGGGGCAAGCCACCCTGTTACAAGGTTCTTATTCCATGCTCATCACTGGAGTACTTGAGCATCTTCCAGTAATACACTAAGCAATGTGACTCACTTCTGTCTCCTATTTGCTCTCTCCTCCTCTCCCCAGGGGAAGTTGTGTGTTCAGTGGGGTGTTTTGTTGTGGATTTTTCTTAATATTCCGCTCCCTCCCCTGAGCGTTCTGTGTCCAGCCCACAACATTTTGGCACCTGAGGCGGGGAGCTCAAATGATGCACCCTTGCCCCCTCGCTTGGGCAAAAACTTTGAAAGGTCTCAATTCTGCCTTCTTCCTGTTCTACTCCTCTCATGGTACTGCTCTGCCACCTACCCCAATAAAGGAGAACTAACAACTTAAAATGCCTTGTGCAAAAATTTTAAGTAACACTTAACTTTCAAATGCCTGAACAGCAAATGCAACTTTTCTTGTCTGTATAGTAAACACTGGCATTTTTATCTGTTTGAATAATCAAAGTGGTGGTTTCCGTGCTTCTGCATTGCAAAGATTTGAACTGCTTCCTGAAGGTCCACAGTCTGGGCCAGCTCATGCTCTATTGAGATGGTTGCAAGGCCGACCAGCCTCTCCTGTGTCATTGTGGAGCGTAGATGTGCTTTTATGAACTTCAGCTTGGAGAAGCTGCATTTTCCACTGGCAACTGTTACAGGAAGTGTTAGAAGTATGCACAGAGCAACAAAAGCATTTGGAAAGAGGGTGGTCATCTTATTTGTGCACATACATTTCAGAACAGCCTTTGGAGTTGATCCTGCTGAAATGTATCTTTCATGATAGGACTTTCAGTTTATCACCTAAATCACTCGCATCAGTATCGCACATGTCAGCATGTGTCAACACTGTCTCTAGTGCCCTGCATTGCTGGTGTAGGTCTTCTTCAGGTATAGCGAGGAGTTTTGGAATATCATACAACATCCCAAATATACTGCTGTGTTCCTTGAGCTGCATGAAATGTTCTTCAGCTGACTGTATTGCACAATCTAGCACCTTTGAAACTTTGAATTGTTGTTTGGGGTCTCTTATGGGATTAGCCCATGCCTCCAAATAAAATGTCTTCTTCTTCAGTGACTCTTGTATTCTTGAATGGGTGGGAAAATAGCTTCAGTGTGAAGTTCCTCTACCAACTTCTGTGCACTCTTCAGAACGTTTTGAAATCCCTCATCTGACCGGTAAGACTGTAGATATGACTTTGCTTTGTCCAGTTGTTCCATTGCTCCAGATATATCAAGGTCAACACCTTGGAGTCTCTTGCTTACAACATTTATTTCAAACAGCATGTCATGCCACAACACTAAGCCACACAGAAATTTGAAGTTATGTATGTTTCTGGTGATTCCATTTCCCTCTGCCACTGTTCTCCCACAAACAGTTCCTGTCATAGCATTATCCTCCATAATGGCAACTATGGCATCATCTATCTTCCCAATTTGGTGTTTGATAGGCTTTATTGCCTCACTCAACTTTCCCATTGTGTGGCTCTCAGTGGTTTCAGTGTCAGAGAGGATGTTCCCAGATGTTGCTTCAAAATTTGCCACTGATGAGTTGATGCAGAGAAAAATACATAGATGCTTTGAATTACATTAAAAAATTCAGCAGCCTCACTAGAAGCTGATGCTGCATCACTGACCACCAAATTCAATGAATGAGAATTGCATGGGACAAAAAAAGCTCGAGGGTTTAGCTCTTGGATATGTGTTTGTACTCCTCTGTTCTTTCCTCTCATGTTGGTACCATTATCGTAGCCCTGACCTCTCATGTCAGCTATCGCAATGCCCGTATCTTCCAGCTTTTTAAGAAGCACATTTGTCATACCAACTCCTATAGTATCATCAATGTCAATAAATACTAGAAAATGCTCTCTGACAGTCACCATTGCAGGGACATTTTCACTAGGTTCAGTCATTTGTTCCATATGGCTGTCAGATGTGCAGTCCAGAATAATAGAGTAATATCTTGGTGACTTCAGATCTGCCACAGTCTTCTGTTTGACTTTTGTTGCCAGTAACTGTATGATCTCATTTTGAATTGTTTTTCCAAGGTAGTGGTGTGTGTACATTTTTTGGGTGGTAACTCTTCTTAGATGTTCCTGGAGTACAGCATCAAACTCAGCCATCAGCTCCACAATTTTAAGGAAGTTTCCATTGTTTGGCACATACAGTGATCTGAAGTGCCAGGCAGTGCTAAGTTTTGGGTAGCAAGCATTCTCACAATGCTTTTCAGAACATTTTGCCAGTAAAGAGACTGATGCAATCTATGATCATCTATGGTGGCCTTTAACCTTAGTCTCATCTCAAGCTTTCCACCTATGGAATGCTCTCTGGTGATTTGCTGCCTTCTCATCGCATGCCAGATTTCTAGCCAGATTTTTTCCAGTTCCTGTAGGACCCAATGTGGCTGGAACCTTAGACTGGAAGAGTTTGCAACAAAAACATTATGCAGCATTCTGGGTTTTTGAGTACATAAGCCATGGCCTCTCCACTTTCTCACCATTGGGGATTTCATGCCATTAATGTGTTGGATAGAAACTTCTATTTTCATTCTCTTTGGGGAACATGAATTTTTTCACTTGCTGTGGCCCATGCAGTACAAGGAAGTCCCTGAGGCTACTGCTCAAGTGGGTCCACAGTTCTGGGTCATCTAGACTTAAGGAACTAAACTCAGCAGTAGTTGTTTCTTGCGCCTCCACCACACTCTTCTCTGATATACAGTTTTCTTTAGGAATGTGCATGGTTACATCCATTTGAGCTGGAGACATGGATGCTGCAGTAGCTGTCAGGTCACCTGCACTCTGACTAACTGGAAGATCAGGCGTCTCCTCACCACTCACATCCTCACTGAGGCCGGAAGGCTCACCGTGAACATTTGTGTCTATGTATCTCAGGAGAGCTCCTTTCTGCTTAAATAGAAAAGGTTCTTTTGCTTTCTTTCTTTTTCTGAATGCTGCCCCCAAAGGGCGTTTTCTTCTTTCACTCATGACTGCTGTTCTGTTCCAGCTATAGTGGCTCTCAACACTCAATTGAAGGGGACAAATAAGCAGGCTGGTAGCAGGGCCTGAGTGAGGGAAGATATCAGCATCTTAAGGGCGTAACTGGCTCCTACTACTTCAGTTGACTGCCCGTTCTCCTCAAGTGGGTTCAGGGAAGCAGCAGGAAACAGGAAGCTCCCTGAGAAGCTGGTGTTAATCAGTCCAGGCTCCTGGGGGTGCTGGAGAGGTACATAAGAGGCTCCTCCTCCTCTCTCTCATAGAATCATAGACTTTAAGGTCAGAAGGGACCATTATGATCATCTAGTCTGACCCCCTGCACAATGCAGGCCACAGAATCTCACCCAGCGACGGCTCCAGGCACCAGCGCTCCAAGCACTTGCCTGGGGCGGCAAGCCACAGGGGGCGCCGTGCCGGTCCCTGCGAGGGTGGCAGTCAGGCAGCCTTTGGCAGCATGCCTGCAGGAGGTCCGCCGGTCCCGCGGATTCGGCAGCAATTCGGCAGCGGGTATGCTGAAGCCTTGGGACTGGCGGACCTCCCGGACCTCCCGCAGGCATGCCGCCGAATCTGCGGGACCGGGGACCTCCTGCAGGCGCGCCGCCGAAAGCCGCCTGCCTGCCGTGCTTGGGGTGGCAAAAAAGCTAGAGCCGCCCCTGATCTCACCCACTCACTCCTGTATCAAACCTGTGTCTGAGCCATTGAAGTCCTCAAATCATGGTTTAAAGACTTCAAGGTGCAGAGAATCTTCCAGCAAGTGACCTGTGCCACACGCTGCAGAGGAAGGTGAAAAAACCCCAGGGCGTCTGCCAATCTGCCCTGGAGGAAAATTCCTTCCCGACCCCAGATATGGCGATAAGCTAAACCCTGAGCATGTGGGCAAGACTCACCAGCCAGACACCCAGGAAAGAATTCTCTCCCTGCAGCTCCTGCTGCTTTCTGTTATTCCCTCTCACCTTTTCTCCTGTCTGCCTGTTATGTCTCTTGTGCCCTCCTTCCTCCAGCACAGCACTCCACCATCTCTGTGCATCCAGAGCAGAGAGAATACATATGCACCAGCAGCAGACACAATTTTCTACACTCTGGGTCTTAGTGGGCCGCCTCAGTTCACCTCATGGTAAGGCCAGCCCTGTCCTCGCTCCTCCTCCCTCCCTCCCAGCCTCCTGCACACTGTGAAATAGCTGTTCGCGGCGGGCGGGAGGCACAGGGAGAGAGGGGGAGCACTGATCTGTGGGGCCTGCTGATGGGAGGGAGGCACTGGGGGAAGGAGGGAGCTTGATTGCCAGTGGGTGCTAAGCATCCACCATTTTTTCCCCATGGGCACTCCAGCCCCGGAGCACCCACCTGTGGTCCCACACCAGATCTAAGGCTCAGCGTCTGGTTACCAGTGATTTCAGCTCTAGCGATCACTGAACAATACAGCGGAGAGTCAAATGCTGTCTAGGACTCCTTAGTCAGCACCACCATCACCATTCTTTCACTGGGATCTGGCCTCTCTACCCCCTGCTTAGCAAGTGAGCTTCTGTTTAGGGGAACTCCTCAATCAGTCAGGACCGGGTAAATACCGTTCTGCTCATACAATCAGGATAACAACATTTCATTACCCCTCCACTCAAATGTAAAAATATTATTAAAGCTGATGTATATAATACACAGGTTAAGAGAAGAGTGTCTGTACAAGTGATTTGTAACCCAACAGCGGCCAAAATTGAGCACTTTGGCAAAGCAGCCCCCTCTGCTGAATACCTAGGCAGAGTAGGTATGTTTATGCAAATACCGTCTGTTCCTGGAGTCCTTTCCCCCAGCTCATTCAGACCCTGCTTACACATCGTTTTCATCCCCAAAGTTTAGCTGATCTTTTAGATACCCTGGGCTCACCTTGAAGATAAGGACAGAGAACTTCAGTGCTCTCTAGAAAGCCAGCGTAGGGACAGGTTTGATATCTTCACAGCAGTCAGTGTTGCTGAGGAGATGTGTTGCAGAGGAGTGTACAAGCTGAAGTTTTCTAAGTGCCAAGGGCTTCGTGTCTGGTTATAGCCCACTGCTGTAATCCTGTCAAAAGTTGACAAAAGCATGAGTAACTGAGGACAGGTCTCATAGCCAACAGGAGATGGTGGAAAGCATTACTCATGGATGCTGCTATATGAGAGCTTCTTGTGGGCACAGTGAGCATCCTCCAGCTCAGCTCCGTCTTCTCTGCTTCCATTCCTGGTTCATAACTCGTGGGTTTTTTGGGGAGGGAGGACATGGACAAGAAGTAAGAGATAGTTCTGAGTGTAGGTGTGGGCATGAAGCGGAGCTGCAGGCCAAACATGGGTGCAGGAGATGGGGATGGTAAAGAGAGAGGATCAGGGAGGAGGTGGGTGGTTAGCAAAAGGAGAGCAGAGAAGTAGGCCAGGGTGATGAGCTTGGAACATATGGACAAGATGTTTCCCCTTGAAGATTTGCCCACATTTTTTCTAACCTGGGTATTGACTTTGAATCTGAACTCTCCTTCTCCTCCTAAACCTCCTCTTGCTGCAAATCTGCCTGTTGGCAATGACATCATTATCCTCTCTGCCACTGTTTGCACTCAGCCTGTGCTGAAATCCTCCCGCGGGCCTCCATCTCCTCTCCCCTTGACTCTGTGGGTCTCATCAGCGCAGCAGGATGGGAACAGATCGGTGGGGAGTGATTCGAGTGGGAATAGCGGTGCTGAATATCTCTGAGTACCTAACAAAAATCATGCTACACTAGCACAAGGGGAACAGCTGAGATGTGGTGAAGTCAGATCCCAAACAGGTGCAGGTGAAGAGCAGGGTAAGGAGATGGAGGGAGTGGGAAAGAGAAAGGATCAGGAGTGAGGTCAGGGGCAGAGAGAGATGTGGGCCAGAGTGATCATGTGATACAGTGATCAGGGCTTTTACTGCCTAATTTATTGCAGGCCTGGAACCAGATTCTGATCTCAGTGGCACTGGTATAAATCTTGAGTTATTCTAAAGTGAGATCTGGAGTCATACTGGATTTATGCAACAGTGTCAGTGAGAACAGAATCTCAAAACTCACTGCCCATAACCCAAACCCTACAGTATCCACTCCCCACAGCTCACATGGGATGCTCTGTCTCTCCCAGGTGGACGGGGTGTCCCACAACCTGCCTGTGATCGTGGCTGATGGGCGGCTCCGGGCGTATCAGCATGGCGTGAATGTCCTGGTGCAAACTGACTTTGGCCTCACCGTGAGCTATGACCTGGTTTACCACGCCAGAGTCACAGTCCCGGGGAGCTACCATGGCCGGATGTGTGGCCTGTGCGGAAATTACAAAGGACAGCAGGATGACGAGTTCCTGCTCCCCGATGGCAGGGTGGCCCCCGACACTGCATCCTTCGGGTCTGCCTGGGAAGTTCAGATCCCAGAGGCATCCTGTACAGACAAATGTGCTGGGAACAGCTGTCCGGTCTGCAAGGAGGAGAGGAAAGATGTCTTCAAAGCGCACAACTACTGTGGGCTGCTCACAGCCCCTCACGGCCCTTTTGCCACCTGCCACAGCACGGTCAGCCCCACTGTGTATTTCAACAACTGTCTGTATGATCTGTGCCTGGGCAACGGGGACTCCCAGGTCCTGTGCCAGAGCATGCACAGCTACGTGACAGCCTGCCAAGAGGCCAAGGTCACCATCCAGCCCTGGAGGAGCACCTCCTTCTGCCGTAAGTGCTGTGATGTTGATGGGTCTCTGGGACGCACTGGGGAGGGTCATAATTTCAAGGCATCTCATTCCAAACCTTTGGGTTTCTTCAGAAACTCTTCTGGATGGAAACCAACCTTCCATAAGTGTCCTGATCCTCTCCTCCCAGTCCCGCTCTCCTCCCCTTCATGTCTCTGTACCTCTGGTTCATGGTATGAGATCTTTCCTGCCCTAAATTAATTCTCTCTCTATTTAAGCTCTGACCTGCCCAGCCAACAGCCACTACAAGGTCTGTGCCAAGCTCTGTACCACCACCTGCACTGGAGACAACATGGACTGCCCGGAGACCTGTGCTGAAGGCTGCCAGTGTGACAAGGGCTTCTTCTTCGACGGCCAGGGCTGTGTGACTCTGGAGAATTGTGGGTGCTTCGAGCGTGGGAGATACTACAAGGTACCACCCCAAGCGGTCTGGGTCTGATCTAATTTTTGCTCTATCCACATCTTAATCCCTACACTAGCCAGGAATAGGGTTAGCTATAGTGGATCAAAGCTTTGGCCTATCCGGCCTGGCACCCCCACTCTGCTAGTACCCAATGCCCAAAGCACCAAGAAAGGCAAGATTATTTAATTCCCTTTGTCTATTTTAGGAAACTGAGGCACAGAGAGAGGCAGTGACTTGCTCACGGCCACATAGTGACTCAGGAGCAGATGGGAGGTTAAAACCTAGGTGCTATTTCTGGCCCTTGGCCCAGTGACAGCCTTTCTCTTTAACATTAAGAGCAAATAATATGACAACAGAACAGACATTTTCACACACATCACCACACATTTCTGGGTTTAGCACTGTCACGGAGTCACCGGGCAATGCTCTGGAACTACTCCATACAAAGCCAGTCAGGACTCAGGGGGTTGGACTAGATGACCTCCTGAGGTCCCTTCCAACCCTGATATTCTATGATTCTATGAATAAAACCGCACTTTGTCACAAGCACTGCCTGAAATTAATATAAATAATCTTTTCCCCATTACATTGTGTTATTTCCCCTTTTCCAAATGTCCCCTCAGCCCAGCGAGACCATCCTGACGAATGAGTGCCAGCAGAGCTGCACCTGCGTTTCTGCCCAAGGGGTGACCTGCAAAGCCCACAGCTGCACCAGAGAAGAAACCTGCAAGCTCAGAGATGGTATCATGGGCTGCATCAGCAAAGGTGAAGGAGAGTCACTGATTGAAATATGCCCCGAGGGGTTACTGTGGGTGGAATAACTGAGGTAGGGATGGGAGAAACCAGTTTACAACAGTTTATTTATTAAGCTTATTTTTCCTCAAGAAATACCCTTCTGCTAATTAACCAGCCTGATCCTGCTTAGCTAATCATAGACAGAGATAGGCAATTTGCAATTCAGCAAGAAGTATGATTGTTACAGAGGTTCCCAGGGTGCAACCTGGACTGTGGGACTGCTGAGCCCTCTGTCCAACCTGGGCCATAAGTGCTGACTCGGTGGGTGCTCCGGGGCTGGAGCACCCATGGGGAAAAATTAGTGGGTGCTCTGCACCCACTGGCAGCTGAGCTCCCCTCACCCCCCGCCCCACCTCCGCCTCCTCCTCCCCTGAGCACACCGCCTCCCCGCTCCTCCGCCTACCTCCCAGGACTTCCCACCCAGCCACCGCCAAACAGCTGTTTGGCTGCGTAACAAGCTCTGGGAGGGAGGGGGAGGAGAGGGAACGTGGCACGCTCAGGGGAGGAAGCGGGGAAGAGGTGGGGCCAGGGCAGGAATTTGGGGAAGGGCTTGGAATGTGGGCGGGGAAGGGGTGGGAAGAGGCAGGGCAGGGATGGGCCTCATGGAAAGGGTGGAGTGGGGGCTGAGCCAGGGGCAGGAGTGGGATCGAGCACCCAGAGGAAAGTGGGGAAGTCGGCACCTATGACCTGAGGTATCCCTCTCACTGTGATGCTGTTGGCAAGCTATAAACCTCTGCTGGGTACTGCACTTACACAGACATCCACAGGCAGGGACACGCCAAACCAAGTTTGGCGAATGTTTCTCCTAGCCATTCATGAACCAACAATAGGGAGGCTCCAGCCAAATCCCCCCAGCTCCCCAGCCTTGCACTTAGGGTGACCAGATAGGGACAGTCCCGATATTTGGGGCTTTTTCTTATATAGACTTCGATTACCCCCCACCCCCTGTCCCAATTTTTCACACTTGCTGTCTGGTCACCCTACTTGCATCCCAGAACGGTACCATCTTGCCTTGGTCAGAAGCCTGACCAGTGTAAGTTCATTACCCAGTCCTCCCCTCCTTCGATGTGGAGAGGACACACACTAGCCTTTATAAACTGAGCTGGTGGACTTCAGAGAGAAGCAGCATAAGAACTGAGTTGTGGGGAGTTAGGAGGGGAGGGAAATCTCTGAGATGAACTTTTCCTCCAATGGGAGTCACAGGTGCTTGGCACCTCTTAGCATTTGATCATTAGCACCTGCAGCTCTCACTGATTTATGGACTGAATTCCCTCTCCCAATGGAATCACTGGGAGTTAGCCAATGACAGGGGTGCTGGAACAATTTTTACATTGGGGAGGCTGAGAGCCATTGAACCAAACTGTAAACGTTACCTCCACTGGAATCCACTTCAAGCCAGGAGGTGCAGCAGCCCCCCCAGCACTCCTAGTTCCAGCACCTATGGCTAATGACTTCAGTGCCATAGCAATGTGTTATTGAGGGTGCTCAGCATGTTGCTGGATCAGAGCCATAGGCACTTGTGCACATGCATAACTTGAAGCATGTGTGTAGCCTCATTGATTTCAACTGAGCTCACTTGATTAAGTGTTTCGATAGATTGGAACCACAGCTTCCAGCAAACCAAGTGCCGTTGAGTATCCCGGGCTTCCCAACCTCTCAGTGTCCTCTGGCTAGCTCCGCTGGTTCTGCATGAACTCTGTGCCCATGACAGGGCTGGATCTCCCAGCCTAGACACTGGACTTGAGTTCCCTGCCCTGTTGATAGAACTGGGCTTTTCTCCTTTCAGATCCCTGCAAAACCCTGAAATGCCGGATCAAGGAGAGATGCAAAATTGAAGATGGCCAAGAGGCATGTGTTCCTGCCTACACTGGAATCTGCCTGGGCTCAGGGGATGCACAGTACCAAACTTTTGATGGCCTGAAGTTTGACTTGCAGGGCACTTGCAAGTACACCATCGCTAAGTACTGTGGCAATGACCCTACCCTGGAGTCCTTCACCATCGATGAGAAGAACGACAACAGGGGGAACCAGGATATCTCCTTTTGGCAGGTGACCAATATCTACGTCTATGGGTACAACGTCTCCATCTACAAGAGGGAAGTTGGCAAAGTCCGGGTGAGTTTCCCAGCTCAGGGCTCTGTGCCTTTTCTACTTAAACAGTATTTTTTGTGTAGTGCCTCTCACACAAATGGAATCCTAGATACGGGCGACAGGTTAGGCCTCTGCTGGAGTATTGTGTCCAGTTCTGGGCACTGCATTTCAAGAAAGATGTGGAGAAATTGGAAAGGGTCCAGAGAAGAGCAACAAGAATGATTAAAGGTCTTGAGAACATGAGCTATGAAGGAAGGCTGAAAGAATTGGGTTTGTTTAGTTTGGAAAAGAGAAGACTGAGAGGGGACATAATAGCAGTTTTCAGGTATCTAAAAGGGTGTCATAAGGAGGAGGGAGAAAACTTGTTCACCTTAGCCTCTAAGGATAGAACAAGAAGTAATGGGCTTAAACTGCAGCAAGGGAGGTCTAGGTTGGACATTAGGAAAAAGTTCCTAACTGTCAAGGTGGTTAAACACTGGAATAAATTGCCTAGGGAGGTTGTGGAATCTCCATCTCTGGAGATATTTAAGAGTAGGTTAGATAAATGTCTATCAGGGATGGTCTAGACAGTATTTGGTCCTGCCATACAGGCAGGGGACTGGACTTGATGACCTCTCGAGGTCCCTTCCAGTCCTAGAATCTATGAATCTATGAATCTATGAGCTGAATATATCATATCGGCAATAAAAGTACATAAATGCAACTGGTCTTGTGTGTTTGACATGGTTGTGATAGATAGATAGATAGATAGATAGATAGATAATTATGCAGACAAATATAAACTGGTAGATAGGGTGTAGCTAGATAAATACTGTATTTATTCAGGGAAAGTCACTTTGATTTCAGTGATTCTTTTACATGCCACTGGTTAAAGTGACAATGACTTACAGCCGAAATGAGTGGCAAGGTGACAGTTGCAGTAAGAACAAGTGAGGATGAAAGAGCAATAACACCTATCATATCTCCCCCCTCCTCTCTGTCTCTAGCTGAACAGTGTGATCACCAGTCTCCCAGTGACGCTGAAAGACGGTAAAATCAGACTGTACCAGAAAGACCTCAGCACCGTCCTGCAGACAGACTTCGGCCTCCAGATCTCACATGATGAAAATTGGCGTGTAGTGATCACCCTCCCCAGCAGCTATTATGGGGCCACGTGCGGCCTATGTGGGAACTTCAACCAGAATCCAGAAGATGACATGATGTCATCCAAAGGCACCATAGTCTCCTCCATCATGGACTGGGCTGCCAGTTGGAAAGTCCAAGACCGGGACCCCCTTTGCTGGGATTATTGCCAAGGCATTTGCCCAATGTGTGATAAGAGCAAGAGAGATCTGTATGGGGATGACAGTCACTGTGGGGTGATCAGTAAAGCACCGGGAGGGCCCTTCAGGGAGTGTCACTCCAGGGTGAGTGCTGATGACTTCTTTGACAGCTGCATCTATGACATGTGTCTGAATGAGGGGGACAAGAGCATTCTGTGTGAGGCGCTGGAGGCCTACGCGAAAGCCTGCAGGAAGCATGGGGTCACTGTCGCTGACTGGAGGACGCCGTCCAGTTGTGGTGAGTCTGGCAGCTTGGTTTCTTATTGACCGCAGTAGCGGTAGTCAATCTGTTTATCTTTTTTGATGAGCATGGGGATGGAAATATCCAGGATCCCTGAGGTACTGGGGTCAGCACTGACTCTTAGGGTAGAGCTCCCCCTAGCAGTCAATCAGCTAAGAGCTAACCCGCCTGGCCCTGTTAGTTAATGAGATCTAAAACAATCATTGATTCAGTTGCTCAGGTACATGTACACAGCAGCTGGGAGGCATAATTCTTCTTCGAGTGCTTGCTCATATCTATTCCAATTAGGTGTGCGCGCGCCGCGTGCACGATCGTTGGAAGATTTTTACCCTAGCAACTCTCGGTGGGTCGGCTGAGGCGCCCGATATATGCCCCTACCGACCCAGCGCCCCCTCAGTTTCTTCTTACCGCCCATGACGGTCGTTGGAACTGTGGAGAGCAGCATAGCTGACCTCCACATCCCTAGCTTTCTCTTTGTATTATAGTTAGTTCTTTAGTGTAGTTTACCAGTTTTAGCAGTTTTAGAGTAGTCTTAGTAAGTTTGTATATATATAGTGTATATATAGTTTATATAGTTGTATATAAGATGAGGAATCAGGGTTTATCCCTGTTCCTCCGCCCCCGTACCAGGACTCATGCCCAAGTCTCCGGGTTTCAAGCCTTGCTCGGCCTGTCTCAAGCCGATGCCCATTGGAGACCCCCACGACTCCTGTTTGAAGTGCCTGGGGGAAGATCATCAACCCGATAAGTGCCGCATTTGTGCCTTGGACAAAAAAGGAGCGGGACTTCCATCTAAAACAGCTCCTGATGGAAGTGGCACTTAGCCCAGTGCCCCCGGCACTGTGCGCAGACCAGGCACCGTCAGTCCGCAGCGCGCCTCCGGCACCGGAGCAACCCAGCACCAGCAAGGTACCTCGGCACCGGACGTCTCCGGCACCGGTACAGACGCGACACAGCTCGCTGTCTCCGCGGCCCAAGAAGCAGCACAAACCACCTGCTGCTCCTCCGCAGTTGCAAGCACCGCCTGTGGCTTCTGTGGAGCAGCGTGCCGTGCCGGACCTCACCGCGAAGGCACCAACTCCGGCACCGTCGATTCCGGCGCCTCAAGCACCGTTGAGTCCGGTGCATATAAGCTCCCCGGTGCACACCGTGGTTGAGCTGGGCCTGCCGTCCACTACAGAAACCTTCTCCACTGCTCGGGACCTTATCGCGCTGACTGAGCCTGGACTGTCTCACCCTACGGCACCGCCGGTGTGGACTGTCCCATCCATAGGGAAGCCCACCTTCATGCAACTTCCATCGCAGAGTGAAACAGCTCGGCACCGCTCTCGATTCCGGTCCCGGTCCCGCAGATGGTCCCGGTCTCAGCGTCGCTCGCAGTCCCGGCACCAATCTCCATCTCGGCGCCGGTCGTACTTGCGGCGCCGCTCCGCCTCCCGAAGGTCTCCCTCCCGGTACGATTGGTACCGATCCAGCTCCCGGCACCGATCCCGGCACCGCTCATCGCACAGCCGGTCGCGGCACCGCCTGCACCGTCGGTCTTCGTCCAGATCTAGATCGACCTCCCGGCACCGTTATGACTGTTGATCCCACTCCTGATCATGGTACTGCTCGGGACACCGGCACCGGTCCCCAGCCCTCAGGCGCGGACCGGTAGAAGGTGACGGTTCAACACAACAAGTGCGTTCGGCACTGCTTTGGCCTTTTCGCCCGAACTCGGCGGTGTCCCAAGCGGCGAGTGGCTATAATGTCCATGGCCAGGACGCGGATGGCGCTAGCCAGGGGCCAGATGTAGGACAGGATCCCGAAAAGGGTCCTCCACAATGGTCCTTCTGGACCCCTTGGGCATACCACCAAGCCCAAGGTGGCCCCTCAGGCGCTTCTCGCTCGGCTCATTCGGAGCCTAGGGTACCTGAGGCAACTGTTAGCCGTCCTCCCCCGATAGCTTTGGAGACGACCGCCCTACTGCCTGAACAGGCTGATGTCCCTACGATCGTGGACCATGGGCAACCGGACACTCCTCAATCTGACCTTCCCCAGGACCCACTAGTCCAGGGATGGTCCTCCTCATCCTCGCCTGACGAAGCCGTGGCAGGCATGTCCTCCTCTGGCCCTCCACCTATAGATCTTCGTGCTTCCTCACCAGGACAGGTGGCACAGAACATGAATGTGCAGGTGGAGGAGGTGACGGAAGTTGAGGACCCGGTGGTGGACATTTTGTCGGCTGATGCCCCCACGCGGGTAGCTTTATCCTTCATTAAGACCATTCAGGCTAATGCCAATATTATCTGGCAGTCCCCGGTGTCCATCCCTCCCACAGCCAGAGTGGTGGAAAGGAAATACATGATGCCATCTAAAGATTATGAGTACTTGTATGTGCACCCCCAACCTTGCTCCCTCGTTGTACAGTCTGTAAACGAGAGGGAGAGGCATGGCCAACAAGCGCCCGCCCCTAAGTCCAAGGACGCTAGGTGCCTGGATCTGTTCAGGCGTAAGATTTACTCAACTGGTGGCCTACAGCTCAGGGTAGCTAACCAGCAGGCCCTCCTGAGCCGTTATAACTATAACACCTGGAACTTGATGGGAAAATTCAAGGAGTTGGTTCCCTAGGAGTCCAGGGAAGAGTTTGGGGCCTTGCTCGAAGATGGCAAGAAGGTGGCAAGGACATCTCTGCAGGCGTCTTTAGACGCAGCTGACTCAGCAGCTAGAACTCTAGCCTCGGGAGTAGCTATGCACCTCATTTCATGGCTGCAAGTGTCCGGCCTTCCACCGGAACTGCAGCAGACTATACAGGACCTGCCCTTTGAAGGCCAAGATCTCTTTTCAGATAAAACTGATCCCAGACTACAAAGTCTGAAGGATAACCGGGCCACCATGCGCTCATTGGGCATGCATACCCCGGTGACGCAGCGCAGGCCCTTCCGGCCCCAGCCGCAGCGCACTTACCCGAACCCTCGACCGCGGCAAGACTTCTCTAGAAGGCATGGTCGTGGCAATAGGAGGCGACAACCTGGTCTGCAAGCAGGCCAGAATCAGGGCCCCCCTAGACCATCAGCGGGGCCCAGACAAAACTTTCGAAGCTGCGCTCGAGGACGGAGCACCAGTCTCCTCCCAGGATCCTTCCCTACCTTTCTCCAACTGCCTCTCCTGTTTCCTCCCTGCGTGGTCCTGCATAACATCAGATCGCTGGGTCCTACACATGGTGGAAAATGGATACCAGCTTCAGTTTATTTCGCCCCCCCCTTCCCACCCTCCCTCCCCATCCCTCTTCAGGGACCCTTCGCACGAGCAACTCCTCTTGCAGGAGGTACAAGTGCTCCTGTCTATTGGAGCGGTGGAAGAGGTACCAAGGGACTTGAGGGGCAGGGGTTTTTACTCCCGCTACTTCCTAATCCCCAAGGCAAAGGGGGGGCTTCGGCCCATCCTGGACCTACGCGGACTCAACAAATTTGTGATAAAGTTGAAGTTCCGCATGGTTACCCTGGAAACTATTATCCCTTCCCTGGATCCTGGAGACTGGTATGCCGCCCTCAACATGAAGGACGCGTACTTCCACATAGCCATTTAACCACCACACAGGCGGTTCCTTCGCTTTGTGGTCGGAAAGCAGCATTTCCAATTTGCGGTCCTCCCCTTCGGCCTCTCCACAGCGCCAAGGGTCTTCACAAAATGTATGACTGTCATAGCGGCCTGGCTCCGCATACATCAGATCCAAGTGTTTCCGTACCTCGATGACTGGCTCATTCGGGGTCGGTCCGAGCTACAGGTGCGGTCTCACGTTCAGTTCCTCATGACCTGCTTCAGGCAATTGGGCCTGCTGCTCAACGCTGAAAAGTCCACTTTGGGGCCAACCCAAAGAATAGACTTCATTGGGGCAGTCCTAGACTCGAATCTCGCCAGGGCGTGCCTACCGCAGACCCGCTTCCAGTCCATGATGACCATTATCCACGCCCTCCAAAGCTTCCCAACCTCGACAGCATGCACATGCCTTGGTCTTCTGGGCCATATGGCCTCGTGCACCTTCGTGAACAAACATGCCAGACTACGCCTCCGCCCACTTCAGATCTGGCTCTCGTCAGTGTACCGTCCAGGCCGGGACAGTTTGGACACAGTATTCACGGTACTGATGGAGGTCTTGTCCTCTCAGGGTTGGTGGCTAAACTCCAGCCTTGTTTGCGGGGGGATGCCATTCCGTGCCCCACAGCCCTCTCTAGTCCTCACCACGGACGCATCCTCTCTGGGCTGGGGCGCTCACCTCGCGGACCTTCGCACACAAGGCCTTTGGTCCGCACAAGAAATAAACCTGCACATCAACGTCAGGGAACTGAGAGCAGTATGCCTAGCGTGTCAGGTATTCCGTGAACACCTGCAGGGCTGTTCTGTCACGATCTTCACAGACAACACAACGGCCATGTTTTACATCAACAAGCAAGGCGGAGCGCAGTCATCCCTCCTCTGTCAGGAAGCCATACATCTCTGGGAATTTTGCATAGCCCACTCAATCGACCTGGTGGCGTCTTTTCTCCCAGAAGTCCAGAACACCTTGGCAGATTGCCTCAGCAGGTCCTTCCTCGCTCACGAGTGGTCGATACGTCTGGACGTTATTCATTCTGTTTTCCGGAGGTGCGGATTTCCCCACATAGACCTTTTTGCCTCTCGCGAGAATCGGAAGTGCCAGGTGTTCTGCTCTCTCCAGGGACGTTCCCCGGGCTCCCTGTCGGACGCCTTCCTGATACTGTGGAAAGACCACCTGCTCTATGCCTTCCCTCCATTTCCGTTGGTCCACAAGGTCCTCCTCAAGTTACGCAGAGACAAGGCCCGCTTAATCTTGATCACTCCAGCGTGGCCCAGACAACACTGGTACACCACACTCCTCGATCTGTTGGTGACGAAACCAATCGCTTTACCATTGTGGCCGGACCTGATCACTCAGGAACACGGCAGGTTATGTCATCCGGACCTGCAGTCCCTCCACCTGACTGCTTGGCTGCTGCATGGCTGACTCAATCCGAGCTGCGTTGCTCCACTTCGGTACAGCAAGTGCTCTTGGGGAGCAGGAAGCCCTCCACTAGGTCCACATACCTGGCCAAATGGAAGCGCTTCTCCTGCTGGTGTGCCCTAAACAACACTGTCCCTATGGGGGTGCCAGTTCCTACCATCCTAGACTATCTCTGGTCCTTGAAACAGCAAGGCCTAGCTGTCTCATCTATCAGAGTCCACCTAGCAGCGATCTCTGCCTTCCACCCGGGTGAGAACGGGCACTCAGTCTTCTCCAGTCCCATGGACAGCAGGTTCCTCAAGGGTGTAGAACGTCTGTACCCACAAATTCGTCAGCCGGCCCCTACGTGGGACCTCAATCTAGTCCAATCTAGACTCATGGGTGCCCCCTTTGAGCCCATGGCCACCTGCTCGATTCTGTACCTGTCCTGGAAAACAGCTTTCCTCATCGCTATCACATCGGCGAGACGAGTCTCTGAACTTAGGGCTCTCACATCGGACCCACCGTATACAGTGTTCCATAAGGACAAGATACAGCTGCGACCTCACCCCGCCTTCCTCCCTAAGGTGGTGTCTGCCTTCCATGTCAACCAAGACATCTTCCTCCCAGTCTTCTTCCCAAAGCCGCATGCTTCGTGAAGGGAACAACAGCAACATTCCCTAGACTTCGCAGGGCTCTTACCTTTTACATCGAACGAACGAAGCCGTTCAGAAAGACATCCCAACTGTGGCAGACCGGATGAAAGGCCTTCTGATCTCTTTGCAGCGAATATCGTCTTGGATTACGTCATGCATCCGTGCATGTTACGATTTGGCGGGTGTCCCAGCTCCACGTCTCACTGCCCATTCTACTTGGGCTCAAGCTTCGTCCTCTGCCTTTCTGGCTCATGTGCCCATACAGGAGATCTGTAGGGCAGCGGCTTGGTCATCTGTGCACACGTTCACTTCCCACTATGCCATAGTGCAGCAGTCCAGGGATGATGCAGCATTTGGTTCAGCGGTTCTTCACTCCGCGACATCTAAGTCTGACCCCACCGCCTAGGTAAGGCTTGGGAGTCACCTAATTGGAATCGATATGAGCAAGCACTCGAAGAAGAAAAGACGGTTACTCACCTTTGTAACTGTTGTTCTTCGAGATGTGTTGCTCATATCCATTCCAAACCCGCCCTCCTTCCCCACTGTCGGAGTAGCTGGCAAGAAGGAACTGAGGGGGCGCTGGGTCGGCAGGGGCATATATCCGGCACCATAAGGGCGCCACTCCAGGGGGCGCCTCAGCTGATCCACCGAGAGTTGCTAGGATAAAAATCTTCCGACGATCATGCACGTGGCGCACACACACCTAATTGGAATGGATATGATCAACACATCTCGAAGAACAACAGTTACAAAGGTGAGTAACCGTCTTTTCTCAGCTCAAGTGGACATTCCTCGGCTTGAGATCGATATCTAAAAATATCAGTGTGGATGCAAAGTCACGGGTGACAGTGTAGGCTAGCTGCCCAAGTTTCCTATGTATTGTGACAGACCCAGACCAGTGGGGTACAGGAGTCTGGTAGAGGGCAAATATACTGGTCACTGGATGAGTAGTTTTCTGTTCCCTGAGTGACCAGAGCAGGGGCTGCACTAGAGTAATCAGGAACCTGCTAGAACCAGTTGAGGCAGGCAGACTAATTAGGACACCTGGAGCCAATTAAGAAGAAGCTTCTAGAATCAATTAAGGCAGGCTAATCAGGGCACCTGGGTTTTAAAAAGAGCTCACTTCAGTTTGTGGTGCGAGTGTGAGGAGCTGGGAGCAAGAGGCGCAAGGAGCTGAGAGTGAGAGGGTGTGCTGCTGGAGGACTGAGGAGCACAAGCGTTATCAGACACCAGGAGGAAGGTCCTGTGGTGAGAATAAGGAAGGTGTTTGGAGGAGGCCATGGGGAAGTAGCCCAGGGAGTTGTAGCTGTCATGCAGCTGTTACAGGAGGCACTATAGACAGCTGCAGTCCACAGGGCCCTGGGCTGGAACCCGGAGTAGAGGGTGGGCCCGGGTTCCCCCCAAACCTCCCAATTGACCTAGACTGTGGGTTCTTCCAGAGGGGAAGGTCTCTGGGCTGTTCCCCAACCCACATGGTGAATCTCTGAGGCAGGAAAATTCGCCAATAAGCGCAGGACCCACCAAGATAGAGGAGGAACTTTGTCACAGTATATATACCCTATTGCCCACATGACATATGTGTGATGTATCTGGCAAGCTGACAATGGTGGAGTTCAGTGTTTCTAAGTGTCCATGGAGTATAGGGGGCTGTGGAACTTTTTTGATGGTCTTCAGAGTGAAGCAGCTATAGACAATTGTGGAGGTAAGAGGGGAGGCAGCTCCATGAGATGTTCTTCTCTGATTGAAATGCATGGGATCTGAAGGTGCTTAAACCTCTCAGAATTTGACTCTTAGCACCTGCAGCCCTTGCTGACTTATGGACTGAAATCCTTTTCCCACTGGAGTCAATGGGGATTCGCCAATGAATTCAGTGCCACAGAAACAACCTATTGAGGGTGCTCAGCATGTTGCTGGATCAGAGACATATGCACTTAGGCACATGAATAACTTGAAGCATGTGAGTAGCTTCACTGATTTCCATGGAACTACTCACATGGTTAAGTTCTTTGCTGGATTGGGACTATAACTTGCAGCAAGCCAGGTTCTGTTGACTATCATGGACTTGCCATCCGCTCAGCATGCAATGGGGGGGTAAGCTGGTTCTGCGTGAAGATTGTGCTCATAACCAGTCTGGCTCTCCCATGCTATCATTATTGTTATTAATTGATAACCCACAGCTTTGCCACTCACGTTTATTGTTTTATGGCAAGTCTAAATATAGGTGGGCAAGTGTTTGTGTTGTGTTGAGAAATTTTGGAAGGTGGTGAAAGAGGAGTGTGTGCTGTAATGAGGAGCTATGTGTTTGGGGTTATCATGTGTTGGCTGTGTTGTCGTGTTGGTGGTTGTGTTAATTTGTATCGGGGGGACTGGGCTGAAGAATTTTGTGTTGAATTGTGTGGGTGACGAATGAGGGGTGTGTGTCTGGGGGATCATGTTTGGGGATTTTGTGTTGATTTGTTTGGGCATGTGGACTGCGTTGGAGAGTTTGTGTTAAGTTGTACAGGTGGTGAATCAATTTTTAAAGAACAGTGGGACAGTCTCCCTTATATCGTTGAATACAAACTAGGTGTAGAGTAAGGATGGTGGTTGGTTCAGATACCTCTAACTCACAATGGTCTAGGACTCTTGGCATGGCATAGGTACATGCCTTACTGCTTTATTATATATAGATTATTATGATTATTTATACTACTGTAGCATTTAGGAGCCTAGATACTCGACTTGATTTCCCTGCCATGTTGATATGACCAACATTTTTTCTTTCAGATGACTGCAAAACTCTGAAATGCCGGACCAAAGAGACATGCCGGACTGAGGATGGCCACACATCATGTATTCCTGACTACTCGGGAACCTGCTTGGGCTCAGGGAACATGCACTACCAAACTTTTGATGGTCTGAAGTTTGACTTCCAGGGCACCTGCACCTACACCCTGGCCAAATACTGTGGGAGTGACGCTACCCTGGAGCCTTTCACCATTGATGAGAAGAACGCCAATAGGGAGAGCCAGGATATCTCCTTTCTGCGAGTGACCAACGTCTACATCTATGGGTACAACATCTCCATCTACAAGAGGGAAGTTGGCAAAGTCCAGGTGAGTCTCCCAGCTCAGGGTTCTGGCACTTTTCGACTTACAAGGCACAATACTATTGTGTAGTGTCTCACACAAACAGAATCCCAAACAGATGCCGTCAGCTGAATATGTCATGTGGGCAATACAAGTAGATAAATACATCTGATCTGTATGAACTATATATTTGAAAACCTTATCATAGATAGATAAATAGAGAGCAAAAACAAGACTTTGTGGCTAGATCGATAGCTATTTCCGATAGGTAGAATCTACATAGAGATATAGGGAATTCTGGAAACAGATTCTGTAGGTAGATAGTGAAGCTAGATAAATACTGTGTTTATTCAGGGACTTTGAATTGATTTCAGTTGTTCTTCTTGACAAAGGGTAGGTCTACACTTACTTCCTGGTCCGGCGGTAAGCAATTGATCTTCTGGGATCGATCCCGGAAGTGCTTGCCGTCGACGCCGGTACTCCAGCTCGGCGAGAGGAGTACGCGGCATCGACGGGGGAGCCTGCCTGCCGCGTAAGTTTGAACTAAGGTACTTCGATTTCAGCGACGTTAATAACGTCGCTGAAGTTGCGTACCTTAGTTCGAAGTGGGGGGTTAGTGTGGACCAGGCCTAAGGAATGGGTAAACAGTGATTTAGGATTTGACCATTATTTTACTTGCTGCTGGTTAGAGTGACAATGAATAACAGCCAAAATTAATGGTGAGGCTACATTTGGAGTAATTGCAAGTGAGGATGAAAGACGAATAATGCCCATCGTGTTCCTCCCCTCCTATCTGTCTTTAGCTAAACGGCGTGATCACCAGGCTCCCGGTGATGCTGAAAGATGGTAAAATCAGACTGTACCAGAAAGGCCTCAGCACTGTCATGCAGACGGACATTGGCCTCCGGGTGGGGTACAACAAGAACTGGCATCTGGAAATCACCCTCCCCAGCAGCTATTATGGTGCCATGTGCGGTCTTTGTGGGAACTTCAACCAGAACCCAGAAGACGACATGATGTCCTCCGACGGCATCAAAGTCTCCGCCATCGTGGGCTGGGCTGCCAGTTGGAAAGTCCAAGACCGGGACCCCTTTTGCTGGCATTCCTGCCAAGAGAACTGCCTGACATGTGATGAGAGCAGAAGGAAGCTGTATGGGGATGACAGTCACTGTGGGCTGATCAGCAAAGCACCGGGAGGGCCCTTCAGAGAGTGTCACTCCAAGGTGAGCCCCGACGACGTCTTTGACAACTGCATCTATGACGTGTGTCTGAATGAGGAGAACAAGAGAGTTCTTTGTGTTGCGCTGGAGACCTACGCAGACACCTGCAGGGACCATGGAGTCACTGTCTATGACTGGAGGACACCGTCCAGCTGTGATGAATTAGGAGGTTGGTATTCTGTCGAAACAGGTGGCAATGGGACTAATCCGACAGTTTCCCCTGTTGATGGAGGAGATGGTGAGTGACCTGAGCATGGGGATGGGAAGATCCAGGTTCCTGGGGCATTGGGGTCTGCACTGATTCTTAGGGTAGAGCTCCCCCTATTCTGCAGGGTTTTCTTTGTTTGGTTAAGTGTACCCTAGTAGTCTCCCCTCGAGGAACTCGCAAGCCTGAAAGAATGACAGACGCAGGTAGCTTATCCGCAATTTGGCTATAAGTGCAATGTATCTAGCAAGCAGGCAATGGTGTAGTTCAGTGTCTATGGGCCATAGGAGTCTGTGGAGCATTTCTAGTGGTCTTCAGAGTGAAACAGCATAAGAACAAAGCTGTGCGAGATCCAGGCGTTATGAGGGGAGATCCAGGAGATTGAAATACATGGGAGTCAAAGGTGCTTACAACTCTCAGAATTTAACCCCTAGCACGTGTGGGTCCCACTGACAGGCCCGCCAACAGCAATTCCGGGCCCCAGGGCAGCTGCACTGCTGGGCGCGCTCTTCCGGCACAGCCAGGACTTCCACATGCCTGCCTGGCTACCTTCGCTGCCGTAGGTACCACCCCCTGCGCGCCTAGGAGCCCTGAGGTCCACCTGGGTGATTTAAAAGGGCCCGGGGCGCCTGGCTGCTACCGCAGCAACGGCTGGGGCCCCCTGGCCCTTTTAAATCACCCGGGCCCTGGGCAATTGTCCCTTTTCCCCCCGTGCCGTCGGCGGGCCTGCTCACTGATGTATGGTCTGAAATGCCACTCCCAAAGGAGTCAGTGGGATTTAGCCAATTACTTCAGTGCCACAGCAATGGGTTATTGAGGGTGTTCTGGATCAGAACCAGGGGCATTTAAGCACACGCATAACTTTAAACATGTGAGTAACCTCATTGGTTTCAGTGGAGCTGCTCACACATTTGAGTGTTTAGCTGGACTGGGACCAGAGCTTGCAGCAAGCCAAGTTCTGTTGAGTATCCTCAGCATGCCTTGGTTGGTTCAGTTGGTTCTGCATGAATGCTCTGCTCATGGCAGATCTTGCTCCCCCGGCCTAGACACTTGTCTCGTGTCCCCCACTCTGTTGATGTGACTGGGCTTTCTCCTTTCAGAAACCTGTGAAACCCTGAAATGCCGGACTAAGGAGATGTGCAAGACAGAGGATGGCCACGCGACATGTGTTCCCGACTACGTGGGAACTTGCTGGGGCTGGGGGGACCCGCATTATCACACCTTTGATGGTCTGAAGTTTGACTTCCAGGGCACCTGCACCTACACCATTGCCAAGTACTGTGGCCACGACCGCTCCCTGGAGCCCTTTACCATCGATGAGAAGAATGATAACAGGGGCAGCCAGGCCATCTCCTTTCTACGAGTGACCAACATCTATGTCTATGGGTACAACATCTCCATCTACAAGAGGGAAGTTGGCAAAGTCCGGGTAAGTCTCCGATTTCAGGACTGCACCTTATAAGACACACTGATTTGGCATAGTGTCTTTCCCACACAAATGGTATCCTAGAATCAGGGGATGTGAGAGAGAAAGACACAGGCAAATGGGAAGAAAGATGTTTTCAGGTGACGTTTCTAACCTTGGACAAGGTGGGACGGTTGTTTCAGTTGTTAGACGATGCATGGGAGAAGACTCTCCCTCCTATAGAAGGGACAGAGAAAGAAAGGAGTGTTGGATAGGTTGATAATCCTAGCCAACAATAATAATAAGGTTGTAACTAATAAGGATAATAGGTTGATAAAGGGGGGAAGGGATAGCTCAGTGGTTTGAGCATTGGCCTGCTAAATCCAGGGTTGTGAGTTCAATCTTTGAGGGGGCCACTTAAGGATCTGGGGCAAAAACAGTACTTGGTGCTGCTAGTGAAGGCAGGGGGCTGGACTCAATGACAAGGTTCCTTCCAGTTCTAGGAGATAGGATATCTCCATTAATTTAATAATAGAGGTGAAATCAGGACTCCATTGAAATCAATGGGAGTAGGTGGCATAGATCACAGGTCTCAGTAGAGGGCTGAATTCTATATTTAGTTATGGTGCATGTGTTGCAGTGTAAATTCAGGACTATATACTCCCCAATATGCACAGCAGAACGGCCTATCAGAGGTTTGCATAGAGATCAAAGGGAGAATATAGTCTTTATTTAGTAACCACACCTTGAATACTGCATGCAGTTCTGAACACCCCATCTCAAAGAGTTATATTAGAATTAGAAAAGGTCCAGAGAAGGGCAACAAAATGATTAAGAGTATGGAACAGCTTCCAAATTAGGAGCGATTAAAAAGACTGGGACTTTTCATCTTGGAAAAGAGATGACTAAGGGGGCATATGATGGAGATCTATAAAATCATGAATGGTGTGGAGAAAGTGAATAAGGAAGTATTATTTATTCCTTGACATAACACAAGTACCAGAGGTCACCCAATGAAATAAATAGGCAGCAGGTTTAAAACAAACAAAAGGAAATACTTCTTCACACAGCACACAGTCAACCTGTGGAACTCATTGCCAGAGGATTATGGCCAAAACTATAATGGGGTTCAAAAAAGCGATAGATAAGTTCCTGGAATATAGATCCATCAATGACTATTAGCCAAGATGGTCAGGAATGCAACCCCATGCTCTGGGTATCCCTAGTCTCTGACTACCAGAAGCTGGGAGTGGACGATGAGATGGAGCGCTCAATAATTGCCCTTTTCTGTTCATTCACTTGGAAGCACCTGGCATTGGCCACTGTTAGAAGACAGGATATCTGGCTAGATGGACCATTGGTCTGCCTCAGTATGTCTGTTCTTAACCAGAGCTGGGCAAAATTTTTCATCCAAAACATTTGTTTGGCAAAAAATGCAGTTTCTGTGCACTGAAACCTTTCATGAATTTGCATCAGTTTTGACAACCTATTTTGGCTGAGAAAAAAAAATCTTAAAAAACTGAGAGGTTTTGTTTCAACATTTTTGAAATAAAACATTTCAGTTTTTTCATTTGAAATGATGTTTTGTTTCAAAACTTCCTTTAATTTTATTTTTTTTAATTTCAAATATTTTAAAAAGTGAAAAACGGTTTGTTTGACCTGAAACAATTTTCTTTCCACTTTTCACCAAAAGATGTGAATTTTTTTTCAGTTAGACTGAAACATTTCCCCCCCTAATTTTTTGTAATTACTAATCTATTATTTGTACATCTCTAGAAGGAACTAATTTTTTATTTATGTATTTATTATTCATTTCCTTCCTTTTCTGTTCATTGTACAGTGAGAAAATTTGCTCCATTTGAGGCTCAGATATATTTCTGCCCTTTTCCCCTCCATTTTCTGCATCTTCCTTTTTCTGATTCTCTTTTCCTGACCTGTCTGTGTGAATCTCCTTCATCCTTTTCTTCATATCTCATTCTCTGTAGCAACCCCCAGTTCTCTACACAAGATGCTTCCACCCCAGTCCTTGCCCCATTTGATCTGTTAAAATGACCAGGGTGTGATGGGATGCTTATTCCACACATAGAATCATAGAGCCATAGAGTTAGAAGGGACCTCAAGGGTCATCTAGTCTAACCCCCTGCCATGTTGCCATGTTGTGTCTAAATCATCCAAGACAGATGAAAACTTCCTGTGAAGGAGATTCCACAACCTTGCTAAACAGTCTGTTCCATTATCCTACTCTTCTTTCGGTTAGGGAGTTTTTCCTGATTTAATCTAAAATCTGTTCTGCTGTAGTTTGAACCATTGCCTCTTGTCCTGCCCTCTGTGGCAAGAAAGAACAACTTTTCTCCATCTTTTTTATGGCAGCCTTTTAAGTATTTGAAGACCACTATTATATCCCCCCATCTCCTCTTTTGCAAACTAAACATACCCAGTTCCTTCAGTCTTTGCTCATATGTAAGGCTGCGAATCATTCACGGAGGTCATGGAAGTCATGGCTTCCATGACTTTCCATGGCATCCATGAATTTTACAGCATTGGTGCAGCTGACCCCAGGACCACTCAGCAGCTGGGGAAGCCCCGGGGCCAGCCACACCAGGCACTGCTCTGGCAGCCCCAGGCAACTGGTCCCCAGCGCTGCCCTGGTGCAGTGGACCGGGACCAGCTGCAGTGGCAGCGGGGACCCAGGCCTCCCCCACCTGGACCAGCAGCGGCAGGGCCCCAGGCCGCACCCCCCTCCAGCTGCAGCAGGGGCTGGGCTGCCCCCCCGGCCAAAACGTCGCCCTGCGCTGCTCCCCCCAGCAGCAGGGACTGCCACCCCCCCAGCAGCAGTCTTCAGGAGTGCCCCCCTCCCAGCAGGTAAGATTTAGTCAC